AGTCAAGTCCGGGGCACTCCAGACGAATAGCTTGACATCTTGTCGGCCATCGTATAGCTTAGCCATCAACCCTTGCTCTTTGTACTGTCCATTGTCCGTAAATTGGCCCAAGCGACTGCGAGATATGTCGTGGATCAGCTTGCCTTTGGGTCGTAAAGCTAGCTGGGGATACGCCGAAGAAGCAGACGGCATAGCCATTGTTTGTTTTCTCTCGCCGCCCATACTGGTACAGTACGCGTGTTTCGTGGAGTGGTGGTAGATCGAACTTAGTTCAGTAGCGATTGTCGAGCTAATTACATTGACGTGATGCTATGCTGCTGGAGTCGTCGTGTCCAGCTCGCGGAGCTTACCCCACATCCGGGCGGCGCCACTGTAAGGCTAAGGTACCTTACCTAGGCACGAGCCCGCTAGTTTCCGATCTGTCTCATGCAACGAAGATGGCCAATCATGCACGTCCAATCATATACCGTGCCTTCATCTCAGTGTTCAGACTCTTACAGTTAGCTCTCATCGTCTGAGCTTCCGAGACGACGTCATCTATTTTGAGACTGCCAAAACTTGATCCAAACCATCCAACATATGGGTTCCTTGTCTACGGGCAATTGCGTTTATCTCTCGCATGAAGGACATCCCGACCTGCGACCTCCAGAAATGTATCCGTCAGTCATCATCTCGCAGACCGTTGAGTGGGTTCTGTCATATAAGCCAAGGCAACAGCACACGTTGCCAGCATTCTGTCGTTTGTGTCGGTAAGCAATGCTCGTTGTGTCCAACAAGCTGTGGCTCGTCCTTTCCTTTTCCTTCTGAAGATTGTTGTTGCAGAGAAGACTCCCACTTCAGCGTCACCGTTTGCCAAAAGGTTCCGCGTCACCACCGCGTGCTCCAGTTCTGTTGTTTTGCTCCTCATTCCATACGTCACTCCATGGAACAACACCCACCACCCGCGTTCGCGGACACCATGCACGCGAATCCGCCCGGTCTAGCCCTGATGGCGGCAATCCGACCTGCCACAAAGCACTATCCCGTGGCATTGCGCTGTGTGCGAGCGCTGTTCCTCAAGWCCGAATACCGAAAATGCGTCTCAACATGCCACGACCTCCTGCAGAATCAAAGCTATCAGTCAAATCCCATACACAAGGCCTTTCTGCTCTTCTACAGCGCTATTGCGTACGACGAGATGGGCCGTGCGATGCACCACAACTCCATTGCGAAGATTCCCGCTCTCGACAGTGCTGAGCAACTCTACCTCGCCGCCATTCATGCTCTTCCGTCGCCCAAGGAAGCCGATCTACTCTGCATCGCACTTGTGCAGGAGTCTCGTGCAGCTGCCTTCCTCGAGCACGACGAGTGTTCTCCAATCCACAATGACTTTGACCGATTCGACGAGGCATCCTTCTTATCGTCACCTGCACGAGATCGTTCCGACAGCATCTCTGTCCAGTCCTCTAACCCTTCACGCCGAGCCGTAGCATCCGAGCTCGACGATCTCGAAAGTCATGACAGCTTTTCCGAGCTCATGACACCAAACCGCGTTCTTAACCGGCAAGATTCGCGAATAACGTTGCGCGAAGACACGACCCCGATGAAGAGGCCACAATCCGAGATTCTATCCAGTAACGGTCGTCCGGCTCCCGCGCGCATGCAACGAGACTTCTCTAGGATGTCACTATTCGAGAGCCCGCAGCGCAAACCAGTTTCACAAGGACTACTACGGCCGATCAGACCTGGCTCGCCCCCACATCAACTCTACATTCCCCTACGACTCCAGACAACACCGCCGGTTCCATCAGCAGGCCATACGAAACAAACCACTCAACAGACTCGCGGGTCGAGTTCACCCAAGTCTATTGCTAACGCTCACGATTACTTCTATGAGGGCCCGCATGTCGATACTGAGCCAGTCTCACCGCTATCTGAAATGGAGATGGAATCCGATTGCTACTTGTCAGACGTTTCAACCATATCAGCGATATCACCGCTGACCCCGACGCGCTCTCGCAATGTATCCTTCTCATCAGACCGTGTTCACGACCGAGACCAAGATCTAGACCACGATCACGATCACGATCACAACCACGGCCACGGCCACGACCACGACCTTGATATTGATCACGACCTGAACGAAAGCCTGTGTCTACGCTTCAATGATCATCTAGACTCCATKCGCAAGCAACTGGAGACGCACATCACGCTTGTACAGCAAACCAAGGAAAAACTTCGAGGACTTCAGKCCGATCGCGCTTCGTCGAAAGTCGCTCCTATTACCGGAACACCACTGCGAGGTCGTCCTGGAGTTGCTGACAGATCGTCTTGTCCACCAGGATGGGCGAAGGATCCGGAAGTGGTCATCGCCTCAGGAGGCCTTCCTCGAGTCCGCAGCTACTGGTCATTTGTTCCCGTGGATGCAAAAGCCGCCGAGAAGCAGAGGCGCATCAAAGCTGGCAGGGAGAGGAGATGGGCGAGGAAGACAGAGCGCTTCAATCCCACAAAATACCAGGATCTTTGCGAGAGGGCGCTGAATGAGCTGTGAATAGTATCGGGAGGATATTGATCGTCGTGTTGAGCAGATGGGCGATGGTTTCGCAAATGACAGGACTGGTGTAGAGACAGCACACCTTTGTTTGATTTGTTTCTGGCAACGAGATGATACCCACTAGTAGAGATAGCTCGTAATTCGTTAATGTCTGTTCGATAAGGAGCTCATCCCGTTCTCTCGTACACACCTGGGATGATCACGGCCGCGTCCCGAACGTCGCTAGTTGGAGCACATGCTCACTTTGCCACTGGTAGAATTCAAGATGGACCGTTGACCCTGTTGCGAATCTGCCTCTGGGTCTGAGACGAGAATCTGTTCCCTTTGTTTCAAGAGCCAACTCAATTTTCATCATCGAACTGCAATGCCTGCTTCCTCGCCACCTCTACCACGCTTCCATCGTCAACATCGGGAATGAACTGCCGCATAACCTTGTCGACGTAGGCTCTCGGTACCCCTTTTTCTAGAGCATCCTCGATACCCATGTTCATTCGATAAATATACTCCTTCTTGGGGTGGCTCGGCGCAGTGAGCCTGAGGTTAATGTACGCCAACATTTCAACTTCCTGGGGATCATCCGTGATGTCAGGCTTCTTACCATCTTTTGCTTCGAAGAAATCACACTCCAGATGTTCTTTCGTATACGCGTACGGAATGCCTTCGTTGCCGTCCAAGCCTTCTTCATCACTGGGCTCGAGACTGTAGACTAGACCCCAGACTTCGTGGGAGTAATCGTGCTTTTGGCTTCTCTCTTCTTTGGATACTTCGACGATGTTGGCGTAGCCTCTCTCGTAGATAATCCAGCGGTATCCATTGAGTCTGGCTATTCCGAGGTATTTTGAGGTCGGGCATCGTTGCTTCATTTGTTGCATCCAGAGATTTGAGCCATAGCCGAAGCTTTGAGAGTGATACCTGTCAGCTAATGGAGGGGTGGGAAGTATGTCGTGCAAGAYGTACTCACTAGATGGATGCTTCTGGGTTGGAAGCTTGGAAGGACAAAATTGATGGCGGTGATGAGAAGGACAGATTCATCCGTAGTGAGGATGTGTTATTCAACTCCATTTCTCTGAATGATCCAGAATTATTGGTGGCGGAAATAATTTGTGTCGATGGCAGAATGTAAGTTAACATGCTTTCCTAAAGTACTTATAATTGCTATGACATTCAAGGTTTCCGGAAGGCGGACCGCTTGCGACATCACCACACCGAGCACGTTCAACTCCCAACAATGAATACACAAACATGACTTGCGAATGATAATGAGTGATACTTTTAACCAATTCTTCTCAACAGTCAATAGGGGCTTCTGACACTTCATGTCACCTTTCGAAAATTCCAGAACAAGGAAGCTCAGAACCTCACTATAAGCAACGAAGATAAACTACCTCATGGATGATGCACGGTTTCTCTGATTCGAAGTCGTCTGAAACGCCTGGAGTTTACAGCATGCGCACGATTATTGCGGGTCGTCTGAATACGAAATGGTTCTCTAACATTACCAGACGGAGATGTCGGCGGTCCTAGTAAGAGATAAACAGATCACGGCCTATCGATCGATGTTTCTCAATGGGTACTGTTTCTATCGTCTTCATAAATCGGGACCCCCTGGACAGCTATGGACCAAAGCCGTGGAAGCAGTCCCATGGCTCGAAAGCGACTAGATCAGATGATCTTGGCGCCGGTTCATAGTTGTTACTCCCATGTGGTCGACACTGTATCCTGCGAGTAGGAGCCGACTTGAGCTCATAGGAGGGCACAGTCATAGTCAAAAACGGCAGCAAGTGCGAATACCTCATTGATCAAGGAGGTTCGGGAACCCGGACACAATCGTACGTCCGGTCCCGTTGTAACTACGCGAACATTCTCGATGTCCGGTGATTGCCCGGCCGGAAGACACATGGGTAACAAATTGGGACGCGCAGTAGCGCAAATCCCCCTTCCAAGACTCGTCTAACGATGGGCGGCGAATGTTGACCTCAGAATATCTGCAACTAAAAGTCAGCGCACTGTAAAGTGGTGCTGCTGTGCACACGTTTGTCATATTCAACTCGACTGTTTGAGATATTTTCTTCATGTATGCCTTTCTCGCAGCCCCGCTGGTCCTTTTGAGGCTGCTTGGGAGCCTGAACATTGCCTCGGCCTCATACCATCACGAATCGCCTCACCATCATGGAGCAACACACGCCCTGCGGGCGACTGGACCGATTGAAGTAACGGGCGACCATGAGTTCCGTCCACCGACAAAAGGCCAGCAGCGAGGTCCTTGTGAGTGATATGCCTGGTCCAGATTTAGCTGTCCACGTCTGCTTACAGGGTTTTTTTCCGTAGGTCCTGGACTGAACGCGCTTGTGAGTGCAATACCCCCTCAAGACATGTAACAGCTACTGATGATATCCCATTCTAGGCCAACCACAACTACATCTCTCGAGATGGAATCGCTTCGCTCTTGGAGATAACCAACGCCGTAACCAAAGTCTACAACATGGAACTTGCGCTGGGGACGATTATTGCAGCAATGGGGGTCCTCTGGACTGGCAACCTCGTCACTTTCTCTATTGGTGGTGCGGATCCTAGGGTGCCGGGCCTGTTGGGTCTTCTGGGTCGGTCCGATGAAAGTTGTGTTTTTATCAAGTCGTTTTCTGACGCTTCATGATAGGACACCCCCAAGGTTTGGACCTTGCACATAACTTCATTGAGTCAGATGCGTCCGCGACAAGGGACGATCTCTTTGTCACAGGTGATGCCAGTACCATGAACTTGGCCAGATTCGAGGAGATGTACAACACTGTGCCCGAAAATACGGGCCAGACCTTCACATCCGATGTAATATCCGACTGGGCTGCAAAGCGCTTCAACGATTCGGTAGCAGAGAATCCGCGCTTCTTCTATGGGCCGTACACCGGTTTGATAGCTCGCAACGCCGGGATTCTCTTTCTGACTCGTCTCATGGCCAATCACGCGGATGGCAGCATCGATGGTGTCCTGAGTGAGTACGACCCTGAGCCTAGATATGCAGGTACAGAGCTGACCATGCAAAGCACACGAAACCCTCAAGAGCTTCTTCGCAGTGTCTGGAACCCCAGGAAACTTCACCTATAAGCGCGGCCACGAGCGAATTCCGGACAACTTTTACCGCAGACCTGTGCCTTATGGTTTGGTCGGTCTAAATCTTGATCTTGTGCACTGGATTACAAGAAACCCAGTGCTCGGCAGTATCGGAGGTAACGTGGGTACCGTGAACTCCTTTGCCGGCGTCGACCTCTCTGATCCAGTTTCGGGTTTGACCAATATCCCCAAACTCTTGGAGTCAAACAACTTGATCTGCTTCGCGCTGGAATTCGTGAAGCTGGCCGCACCGTCCTATACCAACAACATCTTCACAACCCTTGCAGCTCCACTGGGCTCCTTACTGGATGTCATCAACGCCCCGCTTCTGAGCCTATCGTGCCCGGAGTTTGGCTCTCTCACACAGGGCGGCGAGCCTCTGTGGGAAAGCTTACAAAAGCAGTTCCCAGGCGCGGAGAAGTCGGGTATGTAGATGGTCATTGGGCAAGAAGCTTCCTTACAAGACCGGCGAAGAGATGTCCAGAAGAGTTTTGGGTAGTCTTTCAAGCAGAAGTATTGAGATGAATCGATAATGCTGTAACCCGCGTGTGTGTTCTCCGAATGATGGTGACGTTGTCGAAGCAGGTTGTGCATGCGCATGTGGGTATGTCTTGAGAGGAAGGTGGATGCGGGGCTCGTGCATCGGTAGCAACCGAAGCTCTGTGTTGTTTATGCTGGATTTTGTGAACGCGTTCCTCCAACCCGGACCTCTTTGCGACTCGCGTTTCTGCTATCGAGCTTATTGTTTGTTCGTTCACTGGGCAGAAGCATATCGCATAGGACCACGCAACATACCTAATCATGGCCCCTCGTGTCAAAGCACGCGCAGCGGCAGGCGCACCCGACGACTCGGAAGAAGACGACCTTAACAACGCGTCGACGGGTCCGGAGAACAAACGCACAATGCCCGCCTCGACACGCGCAAAAACGACGCGCCGTGCCAGCGCAGGGAAACCGGCTCCCAAGCGCAAGGCTGCACCGAAAACTCAAGCGCGACCAGCTTTAAAAGATCGAACGAATGAGCAACACGCCAGCGACACGGAGGAACTTGACGAGTTCGACCACGAGACCATGGAGGCGTCAAAGCCCAAGGCGAAGCGAGCGAAGACTGCTGCTGTCAGCAAGACCTCCAAGAAACCTGCCGCGCCCAAGGCGGCTTCAGCGAAGAAGGGCAAAATAGCCAAGCGTGCACCGTCCCCCGGGCCGTTGGCAGTGATACCGGAGACCCAACAGGACCCTGAGCAGATGGAAGATGTAGAACAGTCGATTGAGGTATCGCTGGACCCCAGCAATATGGACATTGCCCAGGAGCCAACGCCAAAGCCAATACAGAAATTCTATCAACGAGCGCCGTCAGTTCCCGTCCAACCCCTGCATCCACGGCCGAGTGCGAGACCAGTTTCGGCCCAATCTACATATGCGCCCGTGAGAGAGCGGAGTGGGAGCGCAGGTGGCGGAGAGCGCTTTCTTGGTGACCCAGAACTTCGCAGAGCACTCAATGAGATGACGAAGAAATATGAGAACCTTCAGCTGAAATATGAGAGTCTAGAGGATGTTGGAAAAACGGATGCCGAGACGAACTTTGAGAAGCTGAAACGGGCGAGCGATCAAAAGACCAAAGACGCGAATGAGCTGATTTCCTCTCTCAAGAAGGAGCTAGCAGAATTGCGCAAGACCAGTGCTGCTGTAACGTCGGAGACTTCTGGGCTTCACAAGCAGGTCACCAGCCTTACGACCACCAACGAGAAGATCGTTGCGGAACGGGATGAGTTGAAAGACAAGCTCAAGCTCTCTCAAAATGAGGTTAAGTCTATGGAGGCCAAACTCATCGCTGCCAGACAGCAGCTCTCTAGCAGTGCACTGGAGGCCAAAGCTCAGGCAAGTGCTGCAACGAAGCCCAATTCAAATTCAGGGCTAGGAGATGCTCAGAAGGAAGCGAAGATGAAGGAAAATCTATACGCTGATCTCACCGGTCTGATCGTGTGCGGAGTGAAGCGTATGGATGGCGAGGACGTGTATGACTGCATACAGACTGGCCGTAATGGAAGTGCGTATCCGGCCCTCCAAACACTACAGCAGATCGATACTAACATCGTCTCAGCATTGCACTTCCACCTTTCTATCGCGAACGACACCACAACGCCACATCCCAAAACCCCATCTGGAGTTGACTACGCAGAAGCCGAGTTCGCGTATGAGCCGCTACTGGATGAGAGCAGGGACAAAGAGCTGCTTGATCTGCTGCCAGACTACCTGACAGAGGAGATTTGCTTTCCGCGAAACCACGCCCAACGATTTTACAGCAAGGTCGTGGACAGCATGACCAAGAAGATTGTTATCGAGGATGATTGATCGATGTGTTGAGCCGGGCCAATTCAGTATTCTTGAGCGCATTTGCGGATGTCGCATGAAGGGTGAACGGGACAATTGACTGGAGAAGATGTGGCGTTTGGGCGTACAGTGGAGTTTGGTCGTGAGATACCTGAGATGAGATTTGCATCTTCACGAAAGGGGCATACAAAATGCTTATCCTTTTGCGCACCTTTTCAACGCCGTACTGCTCCACTTTGCCCCATGCAAGGTTGTATTCCTGCATGATTGATACTGTGCCGCGACAGCAAGGCATTCGGCACAGGCCTCTTGGCAGTCTTCGGCTGGGACTCCACAATTTGTCACATGCTTGCGACCCATTCTATAGCGCTAGCGCTATCCAGCATGCAAGACATTGTCTACTGATATGACCTGCTCGCACGCATCGAGGGTCTCGCTGGATACCAATTGACTGTCAAGACATGGCGGACTCAAAGCTTGGAACGTTAGCTGCTCGTGTGGTGGTTGATCGAGGAAGTCAGCCACACTATGGCGCGGAAGATCCTATCGTCGGCAAAATCGTAGTGAGCTATCTCCCGTACAGCAGCATCTTCAAGAAAAATGCAGCCACGGCGGACTACTTTGGCCCACTGAAGCTCGAAGCAACCCTCAGAGGCAAGGTGAAAGTCAAGGTCAAGCGCAGCCGCGATACTGTCATCTCCTCCGATYACACGACTCGCCTATTCATGTGGCACTCTGATGTTTTCAATGGCAGCTTCAAAGCTGAAGTTGGGAAACATTACGAGTTTCCATTCCTGGTCCATTTCCCGACCGCGATAGGAGACTGTCCTATACCGCCCTCCTTCAGCACATACTTCTCCGACTATCCTGATCGCGTAGATGCCGCGGTCGTTTACCGGCTAGGCGCAAAGATCACCACGCCGGGTATCAAAGTTGAGAAGAGCACACCGGACTTCAATCCCGAGCCTGAGGTTAGGTTTCAAATGCCGCGGCCTTCCCGATCAATACTGGGTGTACCTGGCACTGCGCTTCAGCAGAAAGCTGTCGTGCAGAACAAAAAGTTGCTGCCAGAAGCGAAGAGACCAACCGGCATGAGGCAGAACTTCAAGGCGGCATTCTCATCAAACACATATCCAAAATTCAGCGCCAATATAACATGTACGAATATAGATTCTGCCTGCCATGGGATCAAACCTCGCTTCACCCTAGCTATTTCCCCGATAGATGGTGAGACCACAGCACCATTCTTTCCGAACATCAGTCTGAGGACTTTCGAGGTCAAACTGGTAGCTCATACCACGGTCGACACCAGCGGGAGAGTCATGGCCTCCAGCTCCTGCTTTGACTCCCACACCGCGCAGAGGTGGCTGCCGTCCTTGACCAATCCCCGTCTACCTATAGCGCTCTCCAAAACGAACGACCACAGCGTAGACATCGAACTGGCGTCCTTCGAGGAGCACCCTAGCTCTTTTGCGCATCCCAAAATCTCGAGAAAGTATTTCTTGGAGGTCAAGGCCGGATTGAGTGTCGGACATACTGCTGTCATGTTCAACAAGCAGTTTCCAATTGAGATGCTGCCGTCTCCTGACCACACTTTGTCAGATGTAGCTGAGCCAGGCCCATCGCGACTCATGGATGATGCGGATCTTGGAGGATTCGCAACACCACTCTACACGGCCGGTCCCTCGCAGATCGCTGTCCACGGAGAAACATATCTGCCACCACCGGCATACGCGCCTGAGCCTTTAGATAGCGCTACCGAGAGGACTGATCTCACGCTTGAGTAAGCTAAAGTTGGTTGATGAACTTTGAGCTGTCGTCACTAAGACCGCGCGAAGTCTTGAAGCTCGTGTCTTCGCTGCCAGCTGCTCGACATCACGTAAGTACTCCCGTGGATAGATCTCCACGAAGTTCTCCGGACCGCGGGGCGCGCCGGATTCAGTCAAAATCTTCAACCCGTGTGCAACGACCAAGCACTCCAGTCCAACTCCGAGTCTAACAAACCCACTCGCTCAATTCTCCCCGGATGTAGGCATGAGCTCGAACTCACTGACCATGTCAATCCAACCTCCACCACCGAACTGCGCCGCGCTCTCACCCTTGTTGACAAAGCCAAACTGTTCGTAGTATGTCACCAGATAGTCATGCGCAATGAGAGCAACACGATCTGCGACTTCTTGCCTTTGCATACGCTGAAGATATGCCTTTACGATAGTCTTACCAAGTCCGCGGTGCTGGTATTCTGGAAGAACAGCGAGGGAATGGATACATATCGTCCTGCCATGTTCTTTGTGGCCCAATTTTGGGTCGATCTGTCCCGGCGCAGGTACTGCCATGTCATCGTCCGTGACTGTCTCACCAGCGGCCTTGGTTGCTATGACATGGCCGAGTAGCACCGCTTTGCGTTGAGGCTCACCAGAGAATACGGGTGCCGATGTCTCTGCTGTCGCCGCGTCGGAATTCTCCTGACTAGAGAATATCCCCAAACAAAGCTCGCTGCAGTGTTTAAGGCGGTACTGGAACTACAGGCGTATTTTCAGTAAACGGTTTCACTCGCGTCGACGGGGAATTGAGTGGATCCGTGCGTTGCACAGGTAGTGGGTCGRGGATCACCGCGAGGGACATGTGCATGTGCGCGCTCTTTGGTGAGAGGACGCACCACGGTATCGATGAATACAGCGAACAGCACACACCACAGGCTAGGTTACACCAACACGACACAGTGACAAGGGGCGGCATTTGTGCAGCAGACTGACCTTTTCTCGGGAGGCGCGTTCCTCCGGCGGGAATGCGGCGTTCTCCAGTACGACACAACTCTCAATGTCGGAAAGAGACAACGTTTGGGTGTAAGGATGCAGTTCGTCGAGCTGGGTACTGCGTTGAGAGAGCGTGGCTATCATCTGGTCTTCGTCTTGTTGAGACATGCTCTGCTCGTAGCTAGAGTCTCGCTCCGAGACCTTTGACAGTGAGGACATGTCTTGGAGAGTGCGATCATTGGCTAAAGCGGAGAGGTCCCGAGGCATGATCGTGCGAGAGTGGAGGCGTAGAGGGAAAGCTGGCCGTCAAGTTTCAGATGGGTCCTCTCAGCGCAGGTGTGTACTACCCGGCAGTGAGCGTATGTGGGGCAATGCGGTGAGGTCTGCTGGGTTCAAGTTACTGTCATTCAATCGTCGTCGGGCGTGACGGGGTAGCTTGATTGTCGGTACTGGCAGTTTGTTGGCCAGTGCTTGATATGCTTGCTGTTGAGATGTCCACTTGCAGTATGTAGGTTCGAGCTTTCCTCCGAAGAGTGAAGATGCACCTGCCCTATGGGGATCTATGAGCACGGGACTTTTAGCGCTTCTCCATGCCGATTCTCGGCCAGGCCGCCTTGGTACCTCGACATATGCAGCGGAAGTGGACCTTGGAAAGTTGGGAACGCGAGCATGCCATGACACGATGAGCATGATGGAAACGACTGGGAACAGACTGACCGCTCCCGGTCTGCCAGCGCATAGCACTGTTTGTTCCAATATACGAAGCGAAATGTCTAGAACCCGGCGGAAGCCACAGTTCTTCCTGCTCCATCCGTGATCCCATTCCATCATTCACTTCACTTCGCCAGATCGCCACGGCTGCCTGTCACAAGCTTACACAGACTTAAGCCGGTCTCCATCGCTCTCGGTGTCACAACAACTTCCTACATTCCGCATCAAAGTCGCTGGATTCGGCGTCTTGCATCCACGCGCTCGAACACGAAAGCAAGGACTCGCACCAAAGAGGCAGCTATGTGAGTACACCTGCACGACCACCTAGACAGACAGATGCTGACCGCTACTAAAGGCCACGCATCACCATCTCCATCGTCGCTCCCAGCTACACCCTCGAGCAGGACATCCTCTCTCTTGATCTACCGGCCGGACTCACCATCGCCGACCTCAAAGGCCTCGTCACCGCAGAGACCAACCTCCCTCAGGCCCATCAACACTTCWACCTCAACAATCAGGACGTACACGGAGACCACAAAACAATCGAGGAAGTTGGCATCCAGGATGGTGACATGCTAGCTATGTTCATGCAAGACCCACAGAACATGAGTACCCAGCGGCGAGGACAGGCGCAGCAGCAGCAGCAGCAGCGGGGCACTGTGAACAACGATCAGGCGGAGACGATGCGATTAAACGTCCTTGGGAACCCCGCTCAGTTGGCAGACATGAGAGACCGCTTCCCCAATCTAGCTGCGGTCATCAACGACAGCAACCGGTTCCGTGAGGCGTGGCAGGAGATGCTGAATGCAGATCAAACCCGTGAGCGTGAGAGGCAGGAGCAAATGCGTCTGCTCAATGAGGACCCATTCAATGTCGAGGCTCAGCGGAAGATCGAGGAGATGATTAGGCAGGAGTCTGTGCAGGAGAACCTCCATTTTGCTTATGAGCACAACCCAGAGGGTAAGTCGAGCTCTTACAGRGCGGTTGTTTGTCGCTGACTCAAAGCTGCAGTCTTCGGCACTGTCACCATGCTTTACGTTCCCGTGGAGGTCAACAAGCACCCAGTAAAGGCCTTCGTCGATTCCGGCGCCCAGACCACCATCATGTCGCCGTCCTGCGCGGAGAGCTGCGGCATTATGCGCCTCATTGACAATCGCTACTCGGGTATCGCAAAGGGTGTTGGCACAGCCAAGATTCTTGGTCGTGTCCATTCTGCAGACATCAAAATCGGCAAGTCAACCATGTCCTGCTCATTCACTGTCATGGAAGGCAAAGACGTCGATCTTTTACTCGGGCTGGATATGTTGAAGCGCTTCCAAGGCATCATCGACCTGAGGCAGAACAAACTCATCTTCGGTGATGGCAACGAGGTCGACTTTCTTGGGGAAGCAGATCTTCCTAGATACGTCGAGGAGGCTAAGCAGAGCGAGCCCACCATTCCTGGTCCGAACAACACGGAGATTGGTGCTCAATCCGGCACTGTAAAACCGGCAGGCACGTCTGCGGCAGCCTCTTCCTCCAGCAACACCGGCTCCTTTCAAGGTCAGGGCCAGACTTTGAGTTCTTCCTCCAGCTCAAAGGCACCTGTCACAAATGCACCATCATCCAGTGCGCCTCCTGGCCATCCGAAAGAGGCCATTGAACAGCTGCAGAGTCTCGGCTTCTCTCATCAGCAAGCCGTCGCTGCGTTGGATGCATGTGGAGGCAACGTGGAGTACGCTGCCGGACTTCTTTTCCAGGGTTAGGTCAGCTCTTTGTATTGTACGTGGATTTGTGTTCGAGGGCATCACGTTCCGAGCTTCGACAAGTATTGGCTACGGCCTGCCCACCTTTCACGCCGAGGAAATGCAGATGCAGTCGCAAAGCACTCAGTATCCTAGGGCGGTTATGGTAAGCAGCATGAGGGATGTCGGAATGGATAAGCTTAACTGTCGTATTCTACACACACAATCAAGAAACGATACGACATAATGCCCCCACGGGGGGTTCTTCTTGTGCTCGCATAAATATAGAGTCATGGGATAATGTCTCACGCGGCTTGTGACCTTGATCTCTGGACTGCAAACTCGGCACACATCGAAACGGAGCCGGTCGCATGTCGTTTGCTTGACGTATTGTGTTCGCATGTGCGTGTAGGTAGGCGGTAGTTCCCAAGTCTTGTACCTTACCTAGGTACATGTAACCTTTTGATCGGGAGTCCTTTAGCTTTCCAGGTTACCTGCGGGGTATAGTTTTGCCGTGAAACCACGAAACGTCTACTTTCAACATCATCGTTGTACCTCTTCCTTCAGCATCACGTACATCGTATCGCTTGGCATCTAATTCAATAGGCTCTGCTGATGTCAGAACCGCTATATCGCCAAAGAATGCGACTGGAAACGCTGACCCTCGTGACTTGAAGAGCACATCATGGACAACGTGCCATCGCTGTCCAAGTCCGGCCGAGTGTGGAAGAGCAAAGCGGACTTCTTCAGGCCCTTCAGAACACCCACAAGTGAGATCAGTGAAAATATCACGCCTTTGTACGATCCTTCAGTCTCGCGAAGTGAGGTCGAAGAACCAGACCTCAGTGAGCTCAACACTGCGCTTGGTGCCCTGGTGGACATATTCCCGGACGTGCAGCCGGAAGTCTTTCGAGAGATGCTTGTGAGCATCAGCAAGGAAAGCAGGCTGCAGGTGGTGACAGAACATCTACTCCAGAGGAAGGATAAATGGGTGAATGGCAGGTATCGAACGCTACGCAGACAGGATTCAGCCAAAGCCCGGAATCGTGAGCAAATGAATGAAGCTGTGCAGGCACAAGGCGACGTGCAACCCGAGGATTTGTTTCGAGGTCAAAGTTATAAAAAGGCTGTCAAGCAAGTCCTCTATCAGGAGTTCAAGAATTTGAGTCATTCCACAATCCGTGGCGTGCTGGCCGAGCACAACTTCTCCTATACTCTGGCAAGACCTGTACTCCAGCAGCTTTTGAACAGATCGTGGCGATTCTCCATAACAAGCTTCTGGACAAAGCGCTCCCAGTCAAACGCGGCTGACAGCCACCCTTTCATCGTCTGGCAACCGGAAAGGGGGCCGGGACACCCTGCCGTCCCTGCCCTTCGGCGGACTGGCAATGAGGAACTCGACCGTGAGCTCTGGGAGCTTTTCGTGAGACCAATCGTTACGAGGCAACGGCAGGATCGTATCATCGCGGACTATCTCATAGCAAACGAGGTCAATGAAGCGGAAGCTGAAGAGGCCGAGGCTCTGTTTGATTGCGAGTGCTGCTATTCATCCGTGCCATTCGAAAAGATCGCAACATGTAGCGATTCCTGCCACTACCTGTGTCTGGACTGCATTCGCAGGACGGTTAACGAGGCCTTGTATGGCCAAGGATGGGCGCGCACAACCGACTCAGAACGATGCACAGTCCGCTGCTTCGCCACTACTACGGATGGTTGTAATGGCTACATGTCTGCGGACCACGTTCGACGTGCCCTCACTCAAGGCAGCACCAACGAAGATGCTTGGCATGAMTTCCAAGCCCGCATCACCAGCGAGACACTTCTACAGAGCGGCCTCGCCCTTCAGCGTTGCCCATTCTGCAGCTACGCTGAGATCGACGAGCCACCAAAACTCCGACCACGGCACCCAATGACTACTTGGTGCCATATATTGACACGGTCCAACCCAGCCACACAAATCATGTTCACGTCCCTCATGGCTACTCTGATCGTATTCACAATCCCGCTGCTCATCCTCGCTGCAATCGTCTGGCTCGCTACCCGCCTTCTCCCATCTGCCAGAGCCATCATATCCAGATCCATCATCCGAGTCTACAAAGAGCGCCGCGGTCTGCGTTTCCGATGTCAGCAACCAACTTGCCTCCAAGTATCCTGCACACGTTGCACGGCGCCTTGGCAGGATCCGCACACCTGCTTCGAGTCCGAGAAATCATCCTTGCGCCACGCCATCGAGGCGTCCGCAACCGCAGCCGTCAAGCGTACCTGTCCGAAATGTATGCTTAGTTTTGTGAAGTCGAGCGGCTGTAACAAGCTGGTCTGCAATTGTGGCTATACAATGTGTTACATCTGCAGGAATGAGATCTCGAGCAAGGAAGGGTACGGGCACTTTTGCCAGCACTTCCGGCCCGGTGGTGGGAGATGCGGTGAATGCGAGAGATGCGACTTGTATGGAGATGAAGACGAGGAGGCGGCCATTCGTAGCGCAGCACAGCAAGCAGAATTGGCCTGGAGGGAGGAAGAAGGCGGGAAGAAGGGTGAAGATGGTGATGCGGCGAGGTTGATGATCGATGCACTGGTTGGACGTGGGAAGAAGGAGTGGTACGATGACTGGTTGGATGCGGTCCTCGGTGCTATTCTTGAGTGACGATCTGTTTTTTTTTCCTGCGGATAGAGATACCCTACTTACGACTTGAATACAAGCGCAATACAGCCCGATGCTCACCAAATACAGATGGCGAGGTCACGTTGAACAGTAAAGCATCATGCATCGCCATATCCCTCRCCTTCGTCCAGAAACGCGTGAACACTAGGCGGCAACTCCATTCCAGCTGCAAGCAGCTTTTCGAAGATTTTACCTGCACGGCGTCGCTGCGTATCCACTTGCGCGGCATTGATGTGCTCTAGTGACGAATCTCCTTCGCCATCATCAGACACTCCACTTGGATTATTCTCCTGGGGTAGTCGCAGAAGCTCCGCCTGTAAGTCGTAGAGCCAAAGCGCCACCATGCCCCTCGTGTAAAGCATCTCATGGCTGCTGTCATATGGTGGACTGACGAGTAGCTCATCAAGCTGCCGAGCGATCTCCAGTGCCTCTGTAAGTTCACGACTCCTCACCTCTCGATACCTGCGTCGCTGATCGCTTCTGTCGCTCCCAGGGCTCGTACTCAAGTCGCTGTCTGTAAAGTCGGAAGTGGCACTGATCCCCTGCCGCTCTCGTTTTGATTTGTCCTGGACGTGATATATCCACAAACTAAATCTTGCCGGGTATATCGATAATGCACTTGTAATTGAATGATGAGTACGCTGCAAGTGCGGATGCTGGACTATGAGGCGGTCATAGTAGTCGCGCGCCTTCTTGAAGCTGTCGTCTTTGATCGCAGGTACAGAGGTCAGCTTTTCGTCTTCTTCAACCTCTTCCTCATGCTCGTCAACTCTGCCAGTACCCAGTCGCCATGCGACATCCCGCGCTGACATTTGATCACGACGCATCAATATTTCAGCCCCGATCGTCCAACGCCCATGCTGGCGGACGTCAACGCCTCGTCCTGCAATCTCGGTCCGCAGAATGAGCCCCCATGCGCGTGAGGCACGCTCCCAATCGTCCTTGAGCATGCATTTATGCAAGATCGCAGTAAGATTATCCAGATGGCGCGCCCTCAACGAGCTAGCATGGTCTGTTTGAGCGATCTTTGGTACAAACATCGGAGGATTCAACCGAGACAATTCCTGCTCGGCAGGAATTTGTGCATGCCGGGCCTCCTTCACGGCTGCATGCGGAAAATTACCTCCTGGCAGAGGTTTCTCACGGGGATGGCCCGCCACATAATAGGGATCCGTTTTGTTCACCGGGTGCAGCACTCGCGGAGCGCCATGTTCTCCCTCTGAGTCCGAAGATCGATCATTTTCATCTGAATCGTCAAGAGMATTGCGCTTGCGCTTGCGCTCACGCTTTTGCTCGCGTGTTAGGAACGATTGCTGCGTGGTGGACGGCCTGTAGACTGGCGCAAAATTTGACATGGTGAGAACTGAAATAGCACGTAATGAGAACTCAGTGGGTTGGAGGACGCAAGCCAGTAGAACAGGGATTACGGCAGGAGTCCGTTCAGCTGAGAAGAGAGAGCGCAGCAACCGTTCCGCTTGGAGTGTGGCGTGTCAGCAAGATTGATAAAGGTGTAGTGGGGGGTTTGCGTGAGGGAAGCAGAGCAGGATGAGGCCGATGTGAGGATCAGTAGTGCATCAGATTAATGCGTACGTTCTCGGAGCGGACGAGTGAAACGCTGTCGTAGCCTGGCGACGGTGGTGTAGAGGAAAGCGCGAAGTAACGCTAAGTTATTAGGTGATTGCTTGCTGCAGCGGATCTGGCCCGCTAGGTTCTACCGTTCTAGTTCTGGTCGATCCACCTTCAACTGAACTCACTGAACTCACACACATCACCTATCACCCACCATCGCTACTTCTCACGGTCGACTCGTTCAGCAACACCGCCAGCACTCCACAGCAGCAGCAGTGTCAGGGGGCGTGCACAGCGCGGCGTCGCTGGCTGCCATCGTCAGAACATGTACAGATAGCCCGACGCCGTAATCACACCGGGCGCGGACACGAGCACGAGCACGATGGGCCAAGGGTCCTCGCAGCCGGAGGACGGCGTGGTGGAGCGGAGGTCGCGGTGGGGGCCAGCATCAGGGTCGCGACGGACCATGCTCGGACTGCCTCCGCGGCGGCAGCCGGATGGGGATGGAGCGGAGAGTGGAGTAAGAGGGGCGGAGACCGACACTGATGGCGAGATTCATCTACAGGACGACGGTCTGCTAAACAACTCCGACAGTCGGATACGAAGTGTCAACCGCCTGTCGCAAATGTTCCGCTCAAGCCCGGACCACGTATTCACTGAGCCGCGAGACCACTCGACGAGCGATGAGCAACCGCGTGCCGCCCTGCTTCACCGTACACGCTCTCGCTTCCAGGACATGATACGGCGAGACCCTGATCGCAGCTCCACCCGACCCGCACATTCATTTCTACAACAACATCGATCTTCATATGTGCGCGGTAGCCCAGGCAGTGGTCAGAGCAACGAGTATCTATCACCGCCGCGCCTGCCCTCCATCGACCTCACTTCAACCTTCGATAACGACCTTCTCCGCGATATGCCTGAGCCACAGCCCGCGCCTCGTCCCGAGAGCTCGCACCGCCGCGTGCGGTTGAACGCGCTGCGACCAGATCGGTCGTTTCGACATTTGACATCCTCCCTCCGCCGCCGACGATCACCACCACCGGCAGCATCAAATAGACCGCGGGGGAGCGAAGATCAGGCTGCAATGCTGAGCAGACTGCTGAGTGTGGCTGCAGCGGCCACGGCTGCAACTCTCATGGGTGACGATCACCATGCGTTGAGCGAGGCAACGAGCTTGACTGGAAGCTCTGGACTGGGAGACTTGGGGACAGCAAGTGGAGAAGACGGTAGCTTCGATGGCTTCTTGCGAGCCTTGCAGAACGGCAGAATAGCATCTGCGCTCCGTCAGGGCGGCAGTGATGGCGATGGCGACGGTACGGGTGCACAAGCCGCGCCACTCAACTTCTTTCGCATGTTCCGCTTCGGCGCATCGTCCGGTGCGAACGACTCGGAAGCGCGTGATCCTGCGGTTGGGGATGCTGGCAGTGAGTCCGGCGCTGGCGAAGGTCGCATGGTTCCCATTATCATCGTTGGGATTCGATCAATCTCGCCGAATTCCAATTCGAATGCTGGCACTCCCAGCGAGGATCTTCCACCGTTCATCGACGCGTTGGGTAACTTCCCGACGCCACTGCCCGCCCATGCACTCGGAGCCCATGGTCATGATAGCATTGACTCGATACTGCGACCGCCTCAAAACGGAACGTCCTTCCGGCATAGGCGTAGAGCGAGCATGGGAAACTTCGGCATGGGAAGGAGCAGATTGAGCGACAGAATGGATGACCAGCGCGATCACCGCTCTCCAGAGAGCCGTAGAGAGCGACCTTGGAGTGTGGCCAGCACAAGCTCCAACTACGAACCCAGACCACCCCCAGCAACACCGGCCAGCCCAAGCCCTGAACTCAGCCGGATATCAAGCCGGAGCACCACACCCACCCACTCACGGCCTACGTCACTCGTGGCCAGCAGCGTGCGCGACTTCAGTAACGACTCAACACGCAACAGCATCCTCCACCGAGCATCAGCGACTAGCCCGTTGAGCTCTCACACGGAGGAGACCGCGTCAATTCGATCCACTCATTCCGGCACAGGCCTCTTGGGAGACTCGGAGTCATACCGTCTCCACCGTCGTTCAGACACGGCCCCGAACATACATTACCCTCGTTTCGCATCAGGCCATCCGCGTAGGAATGGCGTCGTGGAGCCTGATCATTTACCAGCCTTATCACGCACTTCGTCGAATACTGGCACCGACGCCTCGAGCAACGAGCACAGAAACAGCGGCAACGATTCGAGAAGCTGGATTATCTATGTGCTTGGCGGCTCTYATCCCGAGAATCATCCCATCCTTACAACACCGAGCCTTTTTACCGAAAACCCGACGTACGAGGACATGATGCTGCTTTCAGCTTTGCTCGGACCTGCCAAGGCCCCTGTGGCCACCGAGGAGGATGTTGAAAGCGCGGGTGGAGTTTACAACATCACCACTGTCGGTGTGTCCGAGGATGCTACCAAGACTTCCAGCCTGGTGGCGAGCGCTATCGAGGGCGACGATCACGTCGTCTTGGAAGCTGGCCAGCGGTGCTTGGTTTGTCTTTGCGATTTCGAAGCAAAGGATACTGGGCGTAAGCTTGTCAAGTGCAGCCATCTGTTCCACAAAGAGTGCATCGACCAATGGCTCACAACTGGACGGAATTCGTGTCCGCTCTGTCGCGAGCAAGGTGTTGATGAGAAGAAGATCGAGGAGGCTGATGCTGAAGCCGATGAAGCGTCCGGATCTCCTGCTGCTGCGGGGGTGGAACTGGACGCTATAGATACCGAGCTTGAAGCGTCAGTTGCTTAGAGCTGGTGATATCGCATGCGAAATCGTGGGGATGGGATGTGGGATCCGAACGGCACTGGCTGAGCTTCTTCATGATACCCGATTCGTATCTCCGGTATTCTGGTTCGAATCACTTTAATGGCGGTTACTATACATGTCTTTGATAAAATCGGAGTAAGGCGTTGGGAAGAGGCTGCCCTTGAGGCACCGTGGAGCGGGTCAATTTTCTATTAGATCCGGAACAGCAGAACAGAAGGACGAGCGGTTTGCGTCGCTGCATGCGCCGTTGACTTCTCACGAATATCATGACTTTACTGCTTGCTCGGACAGAATGGGATGGGATTCGACGGAACGATTGTTATTAGCGAGGGAGCATAGCGAATGAACTGAACGTGTAAATTTCTCCCTGCTCATTATCCCCACTCGATTCTTCGGGAGGAATTCAGGCGCATCAGCGATGAGCTGGCCTGGTGGCACCTTTCTCTTCCGGGAATGGTTAGCGTCCTGCGTCAAGTGAAGCAGATCCGCAAGCTTCAAACGTCGTAACGTCGCCGTGCACTTGYCATCTCCACTAACTTAAGCAGAAACAGTGTTACTCCACTTCAGGCATCATTCTTCGATCATGAGGAGCTGCGCAACAGTAGCTCCTCTTCACTCGATCGAAAGTTCGCGAGGCGCGAACGGCACGCTCGAGTCAGTGGTCATTAGCGCAACGTCATTGCCGCTGCTGTGTGAGGAGATCTCTGTCGAAAATCAATATACCGTACTCCCTACTTCACCTTTTGAGCGAGCCTTGTCGTCCTCCTGCACGGACTTTTAGGTTCGTTCACGGTTCTCCAATCCTGTACAGCTCATTATTCTCTACGTTATCCAGTACGACATGGCAGATCTCAGGCGGGAGCTCATCGAATCTGGTGAGGAATGGTCAGATGCCTGGGAAAATGTCCTTGAATTTCATCCACAGTATTTGGCTGCATATCTGCGCCTTCGGAGAATACCTGTACACGACCAATACTTGTCCAGAAAGGTTCAGGAATTGATCCTACTAGCTATGGGTGAGTTTGTGGGCTCGCAAAGGCAGGCGGCCTTGCAATACCACGCCTTGAGTCGCCGATTGCGTAGAAGCTAATTCGCCCACCACTTATCAGATGCTTCATGCACTCATCTCTTTGAGCCAGGTGTTCGTGCGCATACCGCTGGGGCCTTGCGTGCAGGCGCAAAGATCGAGGAGATTATGGAGACATTGGAGCTGACCTCCGTTCTCGGTGGAGACACTCTATCCGTGGGCGTTCCACTTCTCATGGAAGTAATGGAAGAGGGAATGGGAGGAGGTGGCTTTCCTCGTGACTTCACTGATCGCCAGGAGCGTCTGAAAGCAAACTTCGAGCACCATCGTGGTTACTGGAACCCTACATGGCACTTCATTCTGCGAAACGCTCCCCGATTCATGGAAGCATATACAGACTATACGTCTATTGCGTACAGAGACAACAACAATACGCTGGAGCCAAAGGTCAAGTTCCTCATATACATTGCAATCGACTGCTCCACGACGCATTTGTTCAAGCCAGGATTGAAGCACCATATCCGCGAAGCTTTGGAGTGCGGAGCAACTCAGGACGAAGTTCTAGAGGTGTTTGAGCTGGCGACTTTGATGGGCGTGCAAACGTGAGTCCTCTGCCAGCTACTGTCATCTCCTCTCAATAGATATGCTGACTGCGGTGATCGTGGCACACAGGGTGCTGATCGGAGCAAGCGCCCTCAAAGAAGAGCTTATGAGGGAGAACACAAGGCAAGCATCGGTCAGGCTGTTCAATGGCGATCCCATTCGCTTTGAACCGGGGAGGTCGGGCTATCAGTTCTGATGGTAACGTACTTACCCGTGTTATGTCGCTTCACTGGGCATCACAAAGCAAATTGCAGTCGCGCCGGTCAATGGCTCCTTCATCCTCGGGGTCCGGACTTCTTGCCAGCAGGAGCGAATCATAGTTCATACTCCACGTATCGCTTAATTGGGTATCATGAAGCACAATGCAGCGGCGCTCAATAGCTATCCTGGCGCCATGACCCTCTGACCTTCTTCCAATTCTCGGTGTCCTGCTTGCCAGCGGAACCCAATCCTAGTCCACGCTCGACCCTGGAATCAAGAAGTATCAGCAATGTGTCAAATTGAATGCCAGTATTCAACTTGGGGATGCRAAGTGTTCATTGACACGCTGCGAGCAAGCCTGATACTTTCTGCCTTTTGTTCACTTACCATTCCTGACTGCCCATTTCTGTCAAACGTGACAGAGCGCGAGCGAATGCGAACGCTTCTTCATCGCCGGTAAACATGCTACTCTTCTTCAAAGTGTCCATGTTGAGTCCCAGGTCGTCCATCAGACTCCTCATCGCATCGTCGACACCATCGCCATCCTTGACTGTCTTGCTTTTCTGAGCTTCCGGGTCGCCAGCATCGGCCGCTTTGTCCAACATTTCGCCGATCTCGGCCTTCGAGGTGAATAACTGAGTGAGAGGGACCTCCGTGGTCAGCACCAGCTTGGCGCGGGATTCATAGATGGCGTCTAGAAAGGTGATGAATCGACGCGCCAGATCCCGAGACCTGTAGTTCATGCCTGGTACTCCCGTGACTATGAAAGCCTGGTAGTGCTGAACGAGTTCTAAGTAGTCAGCAGCTCCAGTTGCACTACCAATGAGTTGGTCAAAAGTGAACCAACAGGCTCTTCCGGATGCTCGAGGCACTTCAATTTCCCTGCCCCAAACGGTTTGGATTTCCTTATGCGGAGGATCGTTCTCGATATCACCGAGGAATTTAAACCAGTGCTCGGCGTGTCTCTCCGCACCTGCATCGAGAGGATGGTGATACACACCTGAAGGGGGTCTTGGGATCTTCCGATAGTCTGTAGTTGAATCCAAGTTGAGAACATGAAGCTGATCCATCAAGAGGTTTATGCAAGGAATGAAGGACTCCCGCTGTATGCCGTTCCTGTAAAGTTCGGTAGGATGCCGGTTACTTGTCGTTACCAAGACCGTGCCGTGGGCCATTAAGCTCTCTATCAGTCGGCGCAAGATCATGGCATCTGCAACATCTGTACATTGAAATTCGTCGAAACAGAGCACGGACGCCTTCTCCGCGATCTCTGCGGCCACGAATGGAATGCAATCTATGCTGCTACCATGCTGTGCCTTCATCTTGTGCAGCTGTTTGTGTACATCTTGCATGAAATTGTGGAAGTGAATCCGAGTCTTGTGAATGATGTTGGGCGGCAGTGTATCAAAGAATAAGTCCATCAACATCGTCTTACCACTTCCCACATCACCGTACATGTAAAGACCCTTTGGAAGGTTCTCTCTTGGCCGCATCTGCAACTGTTGGCCTCCTCGGCCGAGGAGAGAACCAAAAAAGGACTTTGGCTTCGGCTTCAAAGATTCGATCGTAGGTTTCAAAACAACATCCGGCTTGTACTTGGCTAATGTGTCGTGCAGGTCTTGCAGAGAGTATATCAGGCCTCGTTGGTGCTCGTCATCTCTAAGCCTTCCCGACTGCACTCGAGCATCGTACTCTGGAATAGGGCCCTCTTTGGGATATTTCGCTGAGTTTTGATCCACCACCGTAGCCATCTGTCGACGCCATGTTCTCTGCTCGCTGACATGCGGTCTCACCACAGTCAAGATCGCCGGTCTACCGGGCAGTTTTCGAACAGCTTCCAAGCTCTTGCTTCTGACGTAGATAGTCCTTCGCTGCGAGCACGTTGCATTCTGTCCCCCACGTGCCGACCAAGTAAGGCCCCTCCCAGATAGGTACCGCAAAACTGGTAAAGCTTCTACCGGCACCATGGTAGGCGTTCTTGTCCGATATTCCAGCCGGTGCGTCCTACGCTTCTTCCATGATCAAAACGTCGCGTTGAGTGGGTCTTCTGGTAAGTACCGTGTGGTGCATGTGCTGTAGCGAGGCTTTCGTTTCTAGGACAGGATCGTAAGGCAGTAGAAGTGAGGAGGTTTGTTGCTGCGATGCCGCGACGCCGCGATGTGGGGCCGATGGAGCTCAGCTCGCCTCGGCGACCCGAGGACCGTCCATCGCCTAAGGTAAGTTAGCAATATTAGAATGCTTTAACTCCAACGTTAGACACCCCTCTTTTTTTAGTTATTTAGGCTGGTCGAGGGCCCTTTTACTAATATTAGTACTATAGCGGCCTCTATAACACCTACCYCTCTTAAAACAAACCGTATTAGTCTAATATTCGAAGCGTATCGTTACTAAGCGTTTTCGAAAGGTATTATTATCGTTATCCGCTATATCCGCGGCCGTAGAGGCTAGCATTAGTACGTATTACGTGTATTTATCCTAACCTATAGGTCCGCCGTTCTTACTACTAATCTCTACCGGTATAGATTACCTCCGCCGCTCGTAGTACGCTAGATTATAGAGGGCGTATTAAGCCGCTATCGGAGCGCTAAGGCTACGTACGAGGGTAAAAGAGGCGGAAGTTATAGCGGATACTATCGAGGAGGATTTAGCGAAGAATAAGAATATAGTAGATAAGAATACGATAGATAAGGATATAGCGGAACTACCTATAAGGATACTAATTAACGAGCTATACCTTACGGTAGCGCCTTTTATCTACTTTCGTAGTAATAGCGATAGCGGCTAAGAGCGCTACTATAAGTATAATAGCCGGTCCTCTTAACTACGTATTATTAGAGAGGCTAAGAAGCGGTAGAAGGAACTCGTATAGTAGTAGAAGAAGGAGCGTTAACGGCTAGAGCGTAATTAATTTAGACGTAAGGCTACTACCCTTAATACGTAGTTAGTAGAAGAAGGCCGTAAGCACTTTAGTAATCTAAGGAAGCGGAAGCGGCCTATAGATGTTATTAATACTAGTATTAGCGAAGGCTACTAATAGAAGAAGAAGAAAAAGAGGCTAGTACCGGCCTTATAGTAGCTACCGGCCTTATAGTAGCTATCGGCCTTACGATAGCTACCGGCCTTACGATAGCTAAGTACGCCGTTATTCGTCGATAAATCTACCGAGTTAGAGCCGGAGCCGAAGGTATTCGAGTATCGAGTTAGCCTTACCTATCGCCGAGGGAAAGAGAGTAATAATAATACTTAGATAGTAAGTAGTAACGAGGACAGAGCTATTAATATTAAGAGCTAGATTTAAGAGAATATTATCGATATAAAAGGTGTTTTAAAGAGTGCTAAACTTACGGCTAGCTATCTATATATTAGTGCTAGTATAGCGAGAATTATATAGAAAAATAAACAGAGCTAGTACGGTATTATTAAATAGTTAATACTATTCTATAGGGCTAGTAGGAGCGAACTATATATTACTATAGATGTCGAGTTAGAGCCTTTAGTTATAATACTATTAATACTAGCTCTAACTTAACGAACAGCTACTATAATTTAACTCTCCGGCCTACCGTAGAATTAAGAGGGTATACGTATTACTAGTAACTTCTTAGAGGTAATAATAAGCCGGTAGACCTATAATAACCGCAACTATAAGAACTATAGCTTTTAGTATTACCTACCTCCGGACGCTCGTAATTACTATTTAAACTACTTTCCGATATATAAGTAATAGCTTATAGTATAGTAAAAGGGCATCTTAGAGGGAATACTTACTATAGACGAACTAAGCCCTACTATTATACGTAATCTAGTGCTTATAAAAGAGCGTGGTTTTATAAGCGAGGACGGTAGAATAAATAGTATCCGTAAGATAAAAAACGAGTTAATAGCATTAAGTAATAGTAATACTATTATTTACTATAACCTCGCTCTATCTATAACGCTAATACTAGGACTAAACGACGTAATATTACCGCTATCCTTATAGCTAGAGGTTAAGTATAAACTTAAAGAGTTTATAGAGTATTATAGCCTTAGAAAAGAGTAGTAAGGAGAGCTATAGGAAGTAGCGCTATAGCTTATTAAGCGGTTGTTAATTAATAAGTTTATTACTCTCGTTAATATTGCTAGTATAAGTAATGTAGTTTAGACGAGGGCTAGTATACGTGTTAGATATAAGATTAGAGCTATTCGCTCTACGTAGGAGTTTAAGGATATAAAGCGTAGGGCTCGTAGATTAAGGCTTTAATAACTTTTAAACTAACCGTCCGACTTACGTAATTTTTGTTCGAGCTTCTTTACCGTATTTAGTTATATTTATCTATATTTATATCTTATTTTTAGCGTGTATTAAATAGTATTGTTTTCTATTAGTAGGGAAAAAAAAAGAATATATAAAGTCCGCTAAGCCCTATTAAGCTAGTCGTAGAATAATGTCTTATCTAAGATAGTTATTAATTTATTGCGTAGTAGCTAGCTAACTATATCTAATTAATAGCATCTTAAAATGTAGCTCTAGACGAGCTCGAGTTTTAAGTATTTATTTAGTAAATTTAAAGTATACGGTTATTACGTAATCGTGTACTATGCTATACGGATTAGAGTATTTTAGGGTCTAAGCGGTATCCTTAGTATCCCCGTATAGCCGCTAGCTTTAACTTCGTAAAAGGCTAGACTATAATACGCTTACTAATCCTACGGAATCTAGCCGCCGTCGTATACGGCCGCTTTTAGCTATATATATAAGTAATTTAGATAATATCTACGACGACTTATCGACTATTATAAGCCTCTTAATCGAGTATATTAAAATTATTAAATAACTCGAAATTTATAGGTTAATCCTTCCTTACTACTAACTCGCTCTCTACCGTCCTTACTACCGCTAAATACGACGTCCTTACTATTCCCTATACTACTAACGTATAAGGATCTCGCTATAATCTTTAGGGACATATAGCTTACTACCCTATAAGTAGTAATCGATAAGTATAAGGGAGTTATAGATAGGGATAGATATATATACTAAATAGTAAGTTTACGGAGTTAATATTACTTAGAGAGCGGAGGGCTCTCGAGGTAGGGCTCTATATAGGAACCTTCCGGCCTAATTCGGGCCTATATAGGCTTAGCGTCTTAGCCGAGCCCTTAAGTCTATAAACCGGCGGTATAGTTCCCTAATAATAAGGTATTAGAGGTAATACTAGATATAAAACTAAGGATTAAATTACTTAACGGAAGGATTATAGTACTTAAGGATATAGAGCTTCTTATATATATATAGTACGATTAGCCGGTAGTAATAAAGATAGAGGTAGATACTAGTTCTAAATTAAATAATAAACTCTAGCTATATCTACTCTTCTAAAAGTGCTTCTATATAGTAGTACGTAACTCCTTAGCTACGTTACGTACGGCATCTATAAGGAAGCTCTCGAAGTTATTAACTATCTATATATTACGGTGCCTCTTTATCTAGCTCTTAAGTATATAAAAGGACTATTCGATAGGGTTATAATCCGGTAAGTAAGGCGGAAGTAGTTTAAGGAAGTAATTAGCATTAAGGATAGCCTATATAATAGCGTCGCTCCTATAGATTAAAGCATTATCTATAATAATAATTACCGGTTAGTAATTAAGGAAGGATAGTCTATAGTAGCTAGTTTAGTATATCCTCTTAAGTAATCGATCCTTACTTTAAGAGCGGCTTATTAAGCTAGCTACCTATAGTTATTATAGGTATAAGAGACTACCGTTCTAACCGTTTAGCTAGTAAGCTCGTGTCCGCTAGATAGCTAATTAGACTCTATAAGTAATACCTATCGAGTATAAGAGTAGGGCCTAAGCGAAGGATAAATACTAACCTACCGCTAACCGTTCCGCTTATTATACGCGCTCTTATCGATAAATACTAACTAGTTACGGCTCTAATCGACTACTCTTACTCGCTAGTAAGCTCTTAGAGCCGTATTCCGCTTACTTATAATCCTCTAAGCTATCTTCTTCGAATACGTATACCGCCGAAGGAGCCTAAAGATACTAGAGTCCGTAAAAACGTGTCTAGTTTAATCGAATATCTACTATACTATCTTATCTAAATACGCGTCCGAATACGTATAGATAAACTCTATAAACTTATCCTCTTCCGCCTATATAAGGCGCGTTCGGCGACGCTAGCGTACGTATAGTAGTAGATACGGCTCTCCGAAAAGCTCGTAGCTTAGCCTTATCGACGTAATAGTAGTTAGGGATACCTTATACGAGCGCGTAATAGTACGGTTACTAAAGAGCGTCGTTTCGAAGGCTATACGGAGCTAGTTATAGAGAGGGGGGGTAGTCGTTCGCTAGGCCGGCGCGGCGTAATACGCTCGTACGGCTCCTTTAGAGGTTAGGAAACACAACACCTTTTATACGGACTACTTACCGACATAGTATAGACGATATACGGTCGCTTTTAAGACGGATAGGTGCTATAGAGGCCGCTGTAGTACTAATATTAGTGTAAGGGCCCTCGGCCATCCTAACTAACTAAAAAAGCGGGGTGTTCAACGTTGGAGTCAAAGAATTATAACGTGTGTCGAATCAAACAACCCTTAACTACTTCATGCATCACCGAACAAAGCATTTGGCCGACGGTGACTTGAGCGCTTTTTCTATCTCGATTTTTGAAGTCAACGCGAATGGAAATTTGAAAGCCCCTACTTACGAGAATGAGAGAGCCGACTGTCATAGTACTTACTATGCCTCATCGCCAGAGCCAGAACGTCCAATTCTTCTGATCAGAGCATGTACAGCCGGCATTACTCTCATGCGACTTAGTTGGGGGCAAAGCCTCTCCAACCACTGTTGAAAATTAACGATTCCGTACTTTGAACGGCTCGCAGCTGACTGTCTGAGGGTGGTGCAAGGACGGCACTGGAAGCCGGCCGCTCCCATGAAGCGTATTATGCCTCCTGTAGTCAGATGGTGACAAAGTTCAGGGCGGCAAGCCCTTTTCAGCAGAGAAGTAACAACGCATGAGACTTCCTGTTGCTTTCTCGGCGTCCGATCATTGCATCAACCCTGCTGTCTGCTTTTCATGCCTGACGGCAGCGTTGTGATGCTGCGTAAAGCAGTTCCCATTGGCGGCAATGTGCCATCTTTGCCGACGGCGTCCACGAAGCGACGCAAGGCCATCCATTCTATATTGGAYTCCAGAGATGCAATTGAAAAGCGTCGCAGAAGGCTCTCAGACTTGTCCATCCAGGATCGAGCGTTGCTGGTCACCGTCTTCGGAAGACACTTGTGGCCTTGATATATGCTCTGGCATACGAGCATCTTAGCGGCACTCGCGTATGCGCTGTAAGGAACATCGCCGGCGGCCAGTCCTTCTGATTCAGCGAGCATTGCTATCAGTAGCCAGTGGAGAGTCGCATCCTCAACATACACGTCTTTTGTGAGAGTGTTGATTCCTGGGCTACTGAAAGCGAGGTCTTGGCCACGGACCATGAACAGCAAGCCTCGTATCAATCCGCGTCGCATGTCGCTCACGACGCGGACGACGGGCTGAGAGCAGCAAAGCTTGCACTTGCAGTCAATGAGATTGATGCGTTTCAATTCAGACTGACGCTGAGCAGTGTGCATGTATTGCAATGAGTCGACGTAGCAAAAGGTAAGCTCCTCGCCCTGCTCGACATTTGTGAAGACCTTGAAGGTAGGCTTGCCTTCCGCGGATGTGATGGCTGAGTTCGGGAGGCAGGAATGGTTGAAACGGGAGCTGACGGCGAAGCATCCGTAGCTAGGCTGCCTTCCAACGGCAAACTTATTGGCAAAGAACTTGTAAATCTTCTTCTTCTGTGGATTCTGGCCAAGCTCGGCCTGGTAAAGGGTTAGTCTTGGTCGCATGTACTTGGAGGTATCCTTCCGCCCAAGGAATTGATCTGGGCTCTGAGACCTGGAGTAGCGACGAGAGTTGCAGCAAGGATATATTCACCTTCGAGTCGCGCAGATTGTCGAATATGGTTTGACATGCTGGTGAAAGCCTGCTGTATTCATCGCAGACATCTTGTTCGGTGATACGATCCCAGGGCTTGCTAATCGTAAAGAGTGGCTCTTCGCGGAGGATGATGGTACCAGCCTTGATGGGCTGTGTCGCAAACGCACCCAATCCTTTTCCCTTGGCTTGTCGGATCYCGAAGTGCTCGAACTTGACTGCGAAGAGTCAGAATTGCGCAGTGCTGGATTGGTCTTCGGTGCAGCATACGAGGTTTGACGCTCTGGGCGCCTGGTTCAACCATGTGCGCCTGCAGCGACTTCAAGCCCGCCATGTTGCTGATGTTGATGCTTCAAGGTTGAAAAGCCTGTACGAAGTGATGATGGAGTTGACGTCATGGGAGACGCGTTGAATGACAAGTTCATCTGGCCGTCGTGTTACACAAGCGAGAAGGAAGAGTAAGGTATCTCCCGCAAATCGTGACAGGCTCCAGGGGCAGTGACCAGCGGTTCACACAGAGCGATTCCTGCAAGTGATCACTCGGCATCAAGACTTACTTACTTACCTGTCCACTAGAATCTACTTAAACCCAAGGCCAGGACTGTCTCGGCTGTATGTGAGGCACGCGTGTGGAGGACCCCGTAGCCAGTGCCCTACCTTCGAACTGTGGAAGATGCTCCCGTCCCATAGGTGGCTCCGTCTCGTAATGTATGAAGGCTGGTACGTAAATGATTTGATTGAAAAACAGGGCCGACATAATGAGATCGTAGCATTGCATCAGACGCAGGAAGCAATAAGGGGAAACCTCCAGGCGGTTTGCACGGGAAACCAAAGTAAACCTGGAAGATGATGACGGGTTGACACCGAAAGGTAACCTGGAAGGTACCTTACCTGAGAGCCGGAGATCTCTGGGCTGTAAGGGTCCGATAAGACGGCACGTGAGCGGGACAGGGTTCGGATAGATCCGAAAAATATCTGGAGGTATTTTCTGCCTTTCCTTCGATGCGCTTTGGCACCACCTACCCTCCCACTTCGTCGCAATCATGAAGGTCACTTGGAAAGATATCAGCGCGGTAGGCAATCACCCCCAGCAGAAGGTCCGCCGAGTTGACACGATACTGTCTCTCGCGTTCCTCGCCACATTTGCTCCCTCCACGATTGTCCGGAACATCGCTAATGATTCTGCTGTTGCATGAAGGTTCCCACCTCCGCCGAGTTCTTAGATATCGTCCTTTCACGTACGCAAAGAAGGCTGCCGACACAGATCCGTGCTGGATTCAAGATCCACCGTATCCGCGCATTCTACATCCGAAAAGTCAAGTACACGGCCGAGACGTTCGCAGAGAAACTCACGGCGATCCTGGACGGCTTTCCGCGTCTTGCAGATATCCATCCGTTTCACAAAGATCTGCTCAACACCCTCTACGATGCGGACCACTTCCGAATCGCCCTCGGCCAGTTGAACACAGCAAAGGGCCTGATCGAGACGGTCTCGCGCGACTACATTCGTCTGCTCAAATATGGCCAGTCGCTATTCCAGTGCAAGCAGCTTAAGCGTGCTGCGCTGGGCCGTATGGCCACCATTTGCAAGCGTCTCAAGGACCCGCTCGTCTACCTCGAGCAAGTTCGTCAGCATTTGGGCCGTCTTCCAGGAATCGATCCCAACACCCGCACACTGCTTATCTGCGGCTACCCGAACGTCGGCAAATCATCCTTCCTGAAGAACATCTCGCGCGCCGATGTCGATGTACAGCCATACGCCTTCACGACCAAGTCACTGTTCGTTGGCCACTTCGACTACAAGATGCTGCGTTTCCAGGCTATCGATACACCCGGTATCTTGGATCACCCTCTAGAAGAGATGAACACCATTGAGATGCAGAGTATCACTGCAATCGCGCATTTGCGAAGTGCAATCATGTACTTCATGGATCTCAGCGAGCAGTGTGGATACAGCGTCCAGGCACAGATTGCACTTTTTGAAAGCATCAAGCCTCTCTTCGCAAACAAGCTGGTTTTCATCGTAATCAACAAGATCGATGTGATGCGACCCGAGCAGCTCGACCCGGAAACACAGGAGCAATTGCAGAAGTTGTTGAAGGGTGCAAATGTCGAGATGTTGCAATTGTCATGCACAACGACAGAAGGACTGATGAATGTGAGGAATGCGGTCTGTGACCGGCTTCTGGCTGAGCGCAATGCTCAGAAGCTGACGGCTGGCACCAACGCCTCGGGTGAAGTCACAGGACGTCTTGGCGATGTTCTACGAAGAATTCATGTTGCTCAGCCTTTGGGTGGCATGAAGTGGGAGGCAGACATTCCCGAGGCTGCGCTGAACAGGATGAAATACGACAAGAACGATCYCAACCGGCCTAAGCTTATGCGGGATGTCGAAGAGGAGAATGGCGGTGCAGGTGTCTTCAACGTCAATCTCAAGGACAACTACCTCCTTGAAAACGATGAATGGAAATACGACAAGATTCCCGAGATCGTCGACGGCAAGAACGTGTACGACTTTTTTGATCCTGAGATTGAGGCTAAACTTGCCGCACTCGAAGAAGAGGAGGAGCGTCTCGAAGCGGAAGGTCACTACGACGAGGATGACGATCTGGAGGATGCCGAGGATGCCGACATTGCCTTCAAGGCAGAGAAGATTCGTGAGAAGAGAATACTGATCAAGAATGACAACAAGATGCGCAAGTCACTCAAGAACAGAGCCATAATCCCACGATCGAAGAAGGCAGTGGAGCTGGGCAAGATGGAATCTGCGCTTCAAAAGGCTGGCTACGACACCTCCACAATCTCCGAGCGTGCTCGTTCGATGTCTCGTGGACGCAACAAGAGCCGCGCAGGAACCGAGGACGCCTCCGACGCCGATGCAATGGATGTTGATGAGAGTCAACAGGCACGTCTGTCACGGAGCATCTCGGTCGCTCGTGCCCGAAGCCAGAGCGTCAGCCGCAGAGATGATGGTGTTGCTGATCCAATGGCGAGAAACAAGGCAGATCGTTTGGCTAAGTTGGGCCAGAAGAAGATGAACAGAATGGCTAGACAGGGTGAAGCCGACAGGCATACCACTGCTGCCCTTCCCAAGTGGCTTATTGCCGGAAAGAGAGGCTCGGGCACTACGAGAAGTCGTTAAAAATGGGTTCTTACATGTTCGGCGCAACGGCTGTATGACGGCGTTCATGGGGTTATCCTGGAGGGTTCAACTACTAAATCGCAGTCTGTCACGAAAAAATTCAAGTTTACAGTCTTGATCTCGACCTGTGATCCATCTTATTTGAATCGTACGCGTGTAGTGTTGACATCACTCGGCCGTCAAAACTGGCGAGTAATGACCTATCCCGCTCGAAGACCTGATGCTGGATAGTAAGACCGCTCGATGTGTGATCTTGGCTACAGTATCGACTGAAACATTGCATACGATCCTCCCGGCTTTCTCGTGCTGACCGTAGGTCCATCTGATGCTCGACGAGTGACTTTAGGGTTAKGGTTGGGGTAGTTGGGCCTTGGCGACAGCACGTCCAATACCAAATACAGCCCTACCTGTGGTCGATTTTGTAATTAAGATTGATACGACCCAATTGTTGGATAACTGTGTGCTAGGTACGACTGTTATTATGCCATCTGACGAATGCTGCAGCACTGCTTCAAGCTCGAGGGGGGCTGTCCATGCATGAATGACCTTCCGTCAAATACGGAGGACAGGACGTTCGATTCGTACGCTCAGCATATGTGAGACATTTTACCATGCATATTCCATTCGCACATTGAGAAACTTTACAAGTCTGCACCTGACAAAATGCCACCGTCAATGCATTTCTCCCCCTCATTCTAAGCACCCTTGGGATACTTCTCAAACAGCTTTTCCACCATTCCCTTGCAGATTGGATGGTAGAACTCCTTGTTCTCCTCAAAGGTCCGCTTCGCCAAATCCAAATCGCACTTCATCAGCTCCCTGTACAATGGCCGCACAAACTTCATACGTCCGACTTGTCCCAAAAGMGCCGCCGTCGGGCGGTATACACTCTGGGCATGAGCCTGCAGTCCAACGACAAGATAACGACTCACCACCTCGACATTCTTGCTCGCTGCAAAATCATACACGTCACCCATTCGCTCAACCAGCTCTGGCGAGAGCGGCTTTGAGAAAGTCTGCACCTTCTCGAGGAAAACAACACTTTGGTTGGCCATGAAATGTTTGATGTCGTCTTTGCTGGGCTTGAAATCCGCCTTGCCTTCGTTCAGAGCTTGCCATTTATCCGCAAGGACGTAGCACATATCTGCAAGCTCAGTGTTGAAGGCAGGCTTTTCTGGGAAGCCTGGCTTGTAGAAGGCCTCATCCCAGTCTAGCTCGTCGAGTTTCTTCGATGCTTCAGTGTCGGACGCGAAGAAATCCAGAAGAGTTGATTTGAACTCGTAACTATCCACCGAGCGCCTCTGCCAAGTCGAAAAGTAGTGCGGGATAAACTTATCCCACTTTGCCTTGCCAATGAGCTTCTCGAGTCGGTATAGGAAGCAAAAGCCTTTCTCGTAGGGGATGCTGGAGAAGCAATCGTCGGGATCTTCGCCCTTTAGATTCGGGATGAGCTTGGTGAACTCGTGATCCTCTCCAAACTGTTGAATACTGTCCTCCAGCGCTTTCCAACCGATTATTGCACTGAAGTCGCGATGTTTGTCGTCGCCATGAATATCAGCCTGTATACGACGCTCCAAGTATGTTGTCCATCCTCTATGCGAAAACACGCCAAGGTCAGCAAAGTATGAGAGAGGGACCATGAATGATCGGTAGCCTTTGTGTCGCTGCGCATTAATACTCACTCGTTGAGCCAGAAGTGTTCCCAGCTGGCATTCGACACCAGATTGCCGCTCCATGAGTGTGACAGCTCGTGGGCAATCACGTCAATATTCTGTCTGTCGCCTGATACCACGGTCGGTGTGGCAAACGTGAAGACAGGGTTCTCCATACCGCCTGCAGAGATGTTAGTATGGGTTGATAATAGAATCGAGTGGCCATTAGCGTGATCTTAGCCCACGCTGTCTCAAGCCTGCTCAGCTGTATATACCATAAGGGAAACTAGGAGGAAGAACCAGTACTGAGTACTGAGTCCATGCGTACGGAAATACGATCTTTTCGGCGCACTGAATGTACGCTTCGGTGTCATCCTCAAATTCCCACTGGCTCGCCTTGAGTTCTTCCGGTCCGGTCCACACAGTCGAGCGAGGTCCAATAGAGGCAGATGCAAGATCACCGCTGGCAATAGCGAAGAGATAGCTTGGCATGGGGATAGACTGGTGGAAGGTATACAGCAAAGTTCCAGGCTTGCCCTCCTTGCCGTGCTCAAAGTCCCTAGACCCAGTTGGCAAGCCCGAGGCCAGAACCGGAAGAGGAGAGCGAATGTTGAATGTAAAGGTTGACTTCACGTCGGGAGTATCCTGACATGGGAAAAGGGAGCGTGCATGTATGGCCTGGCACTGGGAGAACATGTAAGGGTGCTTCTTGTTGCTGGTTTGCGCGGGAGTGAGCCATTGCAACGCTGTGCAATCCTTGGTGGTGGAGACCCCAATACGAACTGTGAGATGCGGAGCAGCGGCCTCCAGGTGCTGCTGAGCGATGTGAATGGTCAATGGACTACCGTATGGCTCAACTCGGCTGGCTGAGAGGTCCCACTTGACCTCCTTTCCACCGACATGGACATTGCTGATGTCCAGATGACTAACAGAATGCGGTCAGATCAGCACGCTCCAAGGTAGAATCAACGGAGTTCCACACCTCGTGTCGAGGACGATCTTTTGCTCGCCTTCGCCAAGCTTCTCCAAGGTAAGATGAACATTTCCAGTTAGACGCTTCTTAGTAAAGTCAACTTCGAAGTCGGCAGAGGTGTGCCTCGTTCGCCASGCCTGGATACCATCAGCATGGAACCAGTAATACATAACTCGGATGTGTATACGTTGTAATTTGACAGAGTATTTGGATCTCGAGGTGAGTGGATAGTGGCCGCTGCATGTTTGGCAACAGATTCGGGCGCCGGWCTGATCGCCATGGTTCGATTGAAAGTACGAGAAGTTACAGGTGGTATAGCGGAGAATGCGCGTCTGCCAACACTGAATATGCTCATGTGATGGCCGTCGTAGCTGTGTAGAGTTTGAGGTGGAAGTTCTCTCAATCATGCAACTGGCGTCGAGATCTGTCTAGTACACATCTGGTTAGTCAGACTCAGATCGACAATGGAAACAACATCTCGCGAATCGCGTCGCGTTACATTAATCACAGCAATTCTACATTATCCACACCATCACACGACCTGTGCCGGAGAGGAGGAGCGAACGGGTCATTGAAGGACAAGACATCTCTCGTTCGCGCACATGGCTCGTCTCCGCAAGGCACCCGCCTCGCAGGCGCAGACACAGCCGCCCGCGTCCATCACGCGCCGCGCACTCAAGGAAAAGACAAATACAGCCGTAAACTCTCCAGCCCCGAGATACGAGGACGACGGAAATGCCGAAGCGATGGTCAAGGACGCGAAACCGCGAAGAGGACGCACGAGAAAGCAGACGCGACAGGACAGCGACGATTTGCTCATGGCAGGCGCAATTGGGCCCTCTGACGAGCCTGCGCCACCCAGCGACGTCCCTACGACCACGGACGAACTTGCAAAGAGCGATTCCGCGACAGCTCCCGCCGCAAAAGGTAATCGTCGACCGGCTCGCACCATTCGCAAAGTGGCACAGAGCGAGGCACAAACCAAAGTCTTGGAGGGTTTGAAGCAACGCATGGCCGCCACTGCTCGGGGCCAGCGTGTCCAGGAAGCGCCACGAACAGAGCCAATAGATCCAGTCGCATCATCCGACTCATTTCCAGCCATTGCGCCGGCGCGCAAAACAGCTCTGCGCAAGTCAAATGACATTGTTCCTGAGCGTTCCGAATTTTCCCTGTCGCCCTCTCCGCCACCACCTGGAAAGCTGAGCACTGTCCAAGGAAAGCGCTCTTCACTGACCCAGCCGGGATCCGTCCTTAGGAATCAAAGCACTCCCGCCGTGGAGACAAGCATTCTAGCTTTGAAGAACTTCAAACGCAGACCGCGCCAGCCAAGTATGTTAGCAATGGTGCAACAGCGGACCGCCAGCGCACGACCCTCGGCTGCTCATACCGATCTTGCCATTGAAGACTCGAGTATGTTTGATCTAGAGCTTGACGACGAAGACGACTTCGCGCCCGAGGCAGAGGGCACGCCATTGAATGTGGCGAAGAATAAACGGAAGTCCACTGCAAGCACCGGGTTGCGGGCTAAGCGACGAAAATCGACAATCGATGACACGCAAGACAACACAGGTGGTGAGCCTTTCGTGACCGCTGATGAGATTGTCGTTGCTGTGCCATCATCCTCGCAGCGAGCGGAAACGCCCCAGCCAGCGGCAACTTCGGATGCTCATAATGCTCAAGTCCCGTCGTCTTCAACACCGCCCACCGAGCCGTCATTCGCTGCGGGATCTTTGGGTGCTAAGAGTGCCGACGTCATGGTGCCATCGACAGAAAGGGAGCAAAGTGAAAGGGAGCAAAGCGTTGCAATTCCGTCTACTGAAAGGTCAAGTGGCTCAAGGCGAGGCGCCAAGAGAATAGCTCGAGTCGGTACAATTGACGCTGATGAGAGCGGCATTGACACCCCAAATGGGACTATGGCCGAGCCGGCTAGCAGTAGCCCAGCCCAGGAGGAAATGCGCAATACGCAGTACAACACAGACATGGCGGATCCAGTCACACAGATCTCTCCAGTGCGTAGCAGAGCGAAGGCCGCGAAGAAGCAGAAGCCGGTATCCACGGCTACACTACAATCGCTGCTTCCCAAGCGTAGGAAAATTCTGAAGCCTCGTCAGCGGAAGAGTGAGTACGACATGGCCTCTGACTCCGAGGACGAGGAAGACGTCGTCCTGGACGTCAGCCATTTGGAAAACGACGAGGACGAGCTGGGTGGTGAGACACGCCGAAGGGCACCTTCCAAAGCGCGTGGTAAAACCAGCACCAGGAAGTCTGGTGCAGGCAAGAAGGTTGCTGCGCATGCCGCGCGGCAATCTACTGTCGCTCGAAGCCGGGAAGCTGCCGAACTGTCGATTGCCCAGGGCCGTAGGAGGACCTACGGCAGGGATGCCATCGCGGATAAGGAGAACGATGAAGAGTTCGAAGCTTTCGAGGATGCTGATGAATCCATTCTACCGGAAGAATGCATCTCAATGCATGACGCAATTAGGGGCAAGGAGCTCGAACAGGCGAAGCGGATATTTGCCGAAGTAGATGACTGGGATATGGAGTTTGAAAGCATGAGCCAAGAAGATCATGGGAGTTCTAGTCAGGGCTGGAGATGAGCGATGGTGTCTGCTGCAAATGTGGCTCCGCTCGCTGGAATCTCTGCACAAGAGAAATGAATGCCTACGTACAACTGTCCGCTGCACAAGGAGACGCTTCCGCCCCTTCACGAATATCAACCGTGTTAATGCTCCGGCGATTCCACGCTGGATTTCACTAAGTCACTCGAAGAGAAATGTTTACCTCTGCTACCAAGCCCTTGTAGACCTTGCGTGCATACAGCTACCAACATACCAATGATCCGACCGTCGTACCAACCCAAGCAATCAAAGACCAATTTACCGATTCTTCAAGAGGATTGGATATCGGTGGCCAGAACCTGAAGAAGACTCCCGCAATGCTGTATGCCAAAGCCGCAGTCGTGATGGGAATCCCAAAACCACCCATATGAAAAGGTCCACGCTGAATCCTCCCGCCTTGTTTGAGAATTTGCGGTATAGTCCACAGAATGCAAGCATCATGAATACGCTGAAGTAGCCCTGCACATCCATCACCGCTAAGGCATTGGAGGCTGTTTCAGAGCCGAGCACTATGAGTGCTAGGAGCATGTCGATGACTGCTGTGCCATACAAGAGGAGACAGTCATCGGCTTGGAGAGTTCGCATCTTCATTAGCTTGGAGGTTCCCTATATGATGTCAGGACGAGACGGTTGGCGATGACATGACAAAAAGCACCTCGAGAATTACAGCAAGGCACATTACGATCATGCTGACCCAGCCCGTAAGATTGACGGCCTGAACGTGCGTCAGAGCTACGCTGAACGGTGTCCGAGACGGTCGCTTCTCCAATATCACATAAAAGCCCACTTGTGCCAATGAGAGGCGCAGTGTAGCCCCCAGACTTGGGCAAGATTCCCTCGCAGATGCTACTACATCTTGAGTCCGGTCCATCGTTCTGCAATCCCTTCCGATCGGCATGTTGTTCTCACATACGAAGCCACAAAAGAGCTCACTGGTGTCGATCGGACTCTGTTAAGATTCCGGAGCATCCGAAGGATTCATTCTTCTGCATGRTGGCAGCGTGCCGATCTGCGGTAGAACTTGCCATCCCACGCTTTCTGACCACTCTTCCCCCGAGAATGCTGCACCCTCAATTTATCGACCGATGAAAGGGACGAACAAAATGGGAAGTGATGTTGAGTTATCGTACAGGGTCCTTCCCGTCGAGGAGTCGGATATACCTCGGGTTGGGCAAATCGTGTGTGACGCGATTGTGCAAGGAGAGAACGGCATTGAGCCATACGTTGCAGCGACATGGCCAGGACTAGAGACGCCCGAGGGCCGCAACGAGGCCATGTCTCGCTTCCACGCACTGAGGGCTCATTTGTCCGAACCTGATCACTTCCTCAAAGTTGTTGATGGGAGCACTGGCGAGACGGTGGCAACCTCAGTTTGTTTCTACAGTCCAGAGCCTCCCAAGGAGATATCCGGCCTCTCCGGCGATGCTTGGAAGACGGCGGACGATCGCKAGCATGCTTTCCATCTGAAAGCCGAAAGAGATGCTCTTCTCCTGCGAACGTTCGCCCAATTGGACGGGCCAGTCACAGGTAAGGGTATTCGCCATTCTACGTAGGAGAGGCATAGGTTGATGAAATTTGATCAGAAGTCGTGGCTTTCTTTGTTGATCCCTCCCGACAGCGGCGAGGTATCGGACGTCAGCTTATCAGGCATCTGATCTCGTCAGAAGCACAACGAGGCAAGCCCCTGGTCCTGATAGCACAAGCATCCGCGGTGGCATTCTATCAAAAGCAGAAATTCAAGGTCATCGAGGATGTGACATTGGCAGTTCCACTCAAGTGGCAGAACAGGCCTCGCGCTCGCCTCATCAGTATGCTACACGAGCCCTGAGTCAATAATTGTAGCAAGTACGAGCTGCAACAAGTGCACAGCAAATGGCAATGTTGGGATTTGGGGTTCATGAACAGTATCCCACATCGGCCATCCGACCATTATCATGACGCCCACATGGGACCTCGATCTCTCCTTCAACTCTCGAATGTAGATCCATCATATCATTACATCTGGCTCGAAGTCGTTGGATGCCTCTCCGCTCTGCAAACGGTCTCCTCTCTGCGTTGACGGAATTTGATGATCACTTCTGGCCCTGGACTCTTGAGCGTTTCAATGCCCTTCTCGTCATCAACTGCCACATCGCGTGCCTCTTGGATTCCGCTGTTGTATGTCGCTGTTATGTCTAAGTATGAAGGCCTTGAACTACTTCGCTTTATCTCATGGATAAGACACTTGTCTTTTCAATAAGCGAGTTGGCGCTAGCAAAAGCGGTGTTAGTGCCCCTTGAATATCAAAAGCCCAATTCCACGGTCAAAAGAGGCTTCAAGAACGACAACTGCCGTTACAAATCTACAGTGTGAACATGACATCATTGGTATAGGCTCTTCAAGAGCAAAGGGCACTCCAGCTTCAAAGACGGAGTTGTGGCCATCAATGGTTGTCGTGCCCCAGAATTCTCGCCGTCGGGAACTCAGTTGTTCCACAACGAACAGTGGACTACTAGATTGTGCTTCATTGAAGAAAAGAAAGATTAAATTTTGCTCGGCCGTACCACCACAGGGGCACGCGCATCGGCGAGAATTTGCGGGTCCGGTTGGCATGTGCGGATATCTCCAGACTGGGAAAGCACCAACCTTGGCGGACGTAACTCGGTGGGGGCGCCCCCATAGCAGAACTTTGGATCAGCGTGCCACGTGCGTGCGTGGACTGGAGAAGAGAAAATTAAGGTGTGGCCTGCGGAGAAGTGTTGGGAGCGAATCCTTCGCAAGCCACCATTCCCAAGCCACCAAGCTGGACCGACGAGAACTTTCACGGCCTCACGGTGCTTCTTGCGCCGTTCGACCCACAATCTTCATCAGCACAGGCCGTAACAGCGGTGTTCATTCGGATCCGTAGAAAGGCCGGAAAGTGGTCGTTGTATTTTGAAGATTTCTGATCAATCCCCACCAAAGACCACGACGTCGTCCTGTGCTCCACATCGGGAATATTCGGAGACTGGGTCAAGACATTGCGTGCGCGCCCGCGCCGTCCGGAACATCAAAGTTAGAAGACTCCAGCGGCTCTGATGCACCGCATGGAAGCTCGCTGCTCATGGTCATTTTGGCTTTGGAAAATGGGGTCCGTCGAGATCTCCGCACTGTTCCCCAGAGCCGCAGCCTTTTTTTCAAGGCGCAATTTCCAAACGGGGAGCTGTGTGAGCCGTGGCACCGAGGAGGCAGAAGGCATTTGCTGTCACATGCAAGATAGGGAACCAGCCGTATCTTGACTCTACGAAGTAGCCTATCGCAATCATTGTGCCTTCTGCCACGGGCAGATCACTCTGTGCAAGAAGACTTGCACTCCATTCCGGGACTGTTGTGAGTGGTGAGAAGTAGCGAAACAACATGGGACGCAATGCGAAACCTCATGTGCTTCGAATCAAGCATTGGCGGTTGCATGCAATCGATCGACGAGAAAATCGAACACGGAAGGCGTGATCCTTCGAATCGCCTTGTAGCCGTTCTTGCGATTATTGCCGTGGTGGCTCACGAGAAATTGCCAAAAGCGGAGACCACTGCTGGTATCCCCATACTGATCGCCATATCGTGTCGGCTGGCGTTATGCAGCACTCTCCGCCACGCCGACAACACACAACCAGGGTGCTCATCGGTGATTGCGAGTAAGGCGCCATGGAATGCACTCTGCAAGGCAATGGAGTCGGGGAAGGAGGGAGAAGGCGTGGAAGTTGTAGCGACTTGCCGCCAAGGCAACTCCTGTCGATGGTCGGCGCTGTGAAAAAGGCGAGATGGAGCAACTTAGTCTCATCATCATCCACGGCGTTCTATTCGGCGCAAGGTTTGATGACGGGCCTGCGCATACAGATAGATCAGAGACTGCAACAGAGGACCCACAAACACGCCGGGTGGAGAGGGTGTGTGTTCTCCATCCGCCATCGTTGGTTGCATGATTGAGTCACTTCGCACGCAGCGCACGACTCGGCTCGTTTCGCTGGCCTGCGATGAGGAACGAGGTGCGTATTGTTCGAGGCAGATCGCAGCCCCATCCCATCTTCAGCTCCCCGACAGCCAAAAAGCCAGGTTCCTAAAGATAAGGCGATCCACGGTGGGTTAAAGGAGAGCCACAGACCTCCACATTCATGCGAACGGCCGAAACTCTAACTTTGGTCCAACAATTCTTCTTCCGTCACACGTTGTTTCCTCCCCCCAAGACCTTCGAGATCCCTTCACCCATCGCGCCGGTCCCTACGCATTCTTTGCTGGCTTTTACCTTACGTCGCCACTCTCCCGACCATCTGCCCTCGTGACGAGATTCCGCAGAGCATTTTGCTATCGGCAGATTTATTTGACTAGCTTCCGGCTCGTCGTCATTTTCACATGCTATGCTGTCGCGCCTGTTGAATTCCCCTGGTCCAGAGCCTAGCTCTTCGCAACATCAACATCAGAATCAACCCGCTGCCGCCACTGAATCTCCTGCATACTCAACACCATCTCAGCCCTCCTCGGCAACAGCATCTCCCATGGCCGGGTCTACCATGGCGATGCCCGCCATGAGCGCCATGCAGAGTCAGGACGAGCATCGCCCCGATCTGCCACGTCCCTACAAGTGTCCGCTATGTGACAAGGCTTTCCACCGCCTCGAGCATCAGACGCGACACATCCGTACCCACACCGGTGAAAAGCCACACGCCTGCCAGTTCCCTGGCTGCACGAAGCGATTCAGCAGATCGGACGAATTGACGCGCCACTCTCGAATCCATAGCAACCCCAATTCCCGTCGCGGAAACAAGCAAAATGGTGTTGCTGCGCAAGCTGCGGCTGCCGCTGTGCAGGCGGGCATGTACGACAACCCGGCGATGCAGCAGATCAACCAGATCAACCAGATGAACCAGATGAACCAGATGAATCAAATGCACMAAATGAGTCAAATGGGGCAGATGGGGCAGATGAACCATCTAAACCAAATGGTACAGCCTCCTAGCCAGCTTCAACAATCGCACATGCAGCCAATGATGGCTCCTCAACAACCGCAGCAGCAGCAGCAGCCACCGCCACAGCCACAGCCATCTCAACAACAGCAACAGCCCCCACAGGCTCTTCCAGTAGGCCATTCGCATACATCACAGCCGGCAACGCATTCCGCTCCTGCGTCGCAGCTCAATTCGCCAAACGTGTCCCCTCCCAATACTTATGCAACGTACTCGAGCACCCCGGGATCCTACCTCACTCGCAATGGCAGTGGCGACATCAGCCCAGCGCAAAGCAGTGGGTCGTACAGGCCAATGGATATCAACTTGCTTGCCACGGCTGCGTCGCAGGTGGAGCGTGAGAACAACAGCCAAATTCCCAACCACCATCTGTCGCTGCCCTCACGACACAATTTCCCCAACACCTCATTCCACGCACATCCTTATCATGCTGGAAGATTGCCCTCGCTCTCGTCATACCACTATTCGTCCAACCCAACATCTCAGCCAATGTCGAGATCTCACTCGCACGAAGAGGATGACCACTACTCGGGTCGCGCATCGAAGAAGTCCCGACCCGGCTCACCACAATCTACCGCACCGCCATCGCCAACGTTCTCACATGAATCTGCATCTCCCACACCGGATCATACTCCTCTAGCGACGCCATCACACTCGCCACGTTTGAGACCGCAATTTTTCCACAACGGCGTGCAGCTTCCGACTTTGCACCATCTTTCTCTGGCACATCAACCACCGCCTGCTCTTGCTCCTGTGGAGCCTTCAGCCGATGGACACCAGCCCTACGTTCCGGCACAGCACAGCGGCCTGCGGATTAGCGAGATTATGGAAGCTGGCGATGGAGCGCAACGCAAGCTACCCATCCCCATGATTCCCCACAAGGAATCAAACTACATGGTCAAAGAACTTGTGAATCCGGGCAGCGGTGGAAGCAGCGGGCAGAGTAGTACGAGAGCGAGCGAAGCTGGAAACGATCTCCACGAGCGAATGTAAGGTATGGAACAGTCTGGTAAATCCTTGCTTGGATACTACAACTTTGACGAGAAGGGTTTGCAAACAATTGGTACGCTATTTATTTTGGCGAGGCCATGTCCACGGCCACATTGAAGACCGGTTTCCCCGGCTTTGTTTTTCACAGCGAGGCGTTCTAGCGCAATAGAAAGGATGATGGATATGAGCAACCATAGATGAGACAGCAGTCGCGAGACGTGCAGGAGCGTGCGCCGAAGTAGAGACAATGGATGGCGAGCATTGCTCCGCCGATACCAGCGGCTGAAGATGCGGGATAATATCAGGAACTTTCTGCTCTACAATCTCCAGTTTGATCGAGTATCGGACGCTATATACTTCACACGGAGAGACGGCTTTACAATTGCATAATTCTCAACACCCATCTGAATCGCTACATAACGGCAGCCTGGTTGTTGCAGCGGCGTGGGTCGCAGCCTGGGTTGTAGTGACGTGTGCATTCAAGGGCCGGTGGCCGCGGATGATGGACAAGTGTGGAGTTGAAAACTCTATCTTTCCGATCGATCACCTCGTCTCGTTTCACAGCAAAGTCTCTCCCTACTCATGAGCACGTTTCACGGGTATAACAAGGTCTGTCATCACCGGACGCGAGCAGTGGATTTGCCCTCGTATCGATAGACCTACATCCACAATCATCCACGACGGGAAACCTTTTCAGGCTCCGACGGTTGGTTGGTTGATGACTCTGTTTGGAACGGACGTTTCTCCCCACCTCCACGTCCCGAGAAAATCCGGGGTGGCATACATTCCCCTGAGTTGCCCCGGTCTTGTGCTCCCCTCTGCCTTGTGCCTGTGGGGTCCTTCGCTCCACCAAGGAAAAACTTCTTTGTGCGGTGTGACCGACTTTCTTGACAGTCTCGACCCGTTTGCCAGCGCTTGTTGGTTCCGGCCCACCTCTACCTATCAAAACCGTGAGATGAGATGAGCGGGTCACTTGTTGGTGGTCCCATTTAGCAACCTTATCGGCTAAAGTCCAAGACACCCGTGGTCTTTATCTGATACGGATCCGAGGCGATCCACGTTCTAGAAGTGTCAGCCCTGTGCACATTACGGCAGACGCCGTCATTTGCCGTGCATGAGGTGTGGGTGCTGTGGGATGATTTCTGAAGTGTGGAGATAGGCGCACGGCAACATATGCACCGTGGCAGGGGTGAAATGCAGTGGTTGCTTATTGTGGGGGTTCATTTCGGTCAATTCTTCATGTGGACGCAGCCAGTAGGAGTATGCTATCTTCGTGTGTGGAAACAATTGGGTATCATGCCAGCAAATGCACTTTCATCACGTCACATCTTCGTTCATCACATCAGCCACCCCCCGTCAGCTTCGGCTTCCCCACAATAGCAACAATGGCAACGCTCGCGTAAACATACTCTGTAAGCCAGCAGTGCAACCACGCCAGCGATCGTCCAACCGGGCATCACTCCTCGCTCAGCTTACTGAGTTGGTGCCTTCTTTGGAGTTCCCTGCAGTACCTTTCCACCGCTCTCCTTCATCTCCTCCATGGCACCAGTGATCAGTTTCCGCTTCTTGGAGATAGACTCGAATCGCGACTCGACTTCGTTCTCGAACTCCCGGGCGATCTGGCGCTTTTCTTGGCGTGCAGTCTTGAATCGATTGGTAAGTTTCGTGAAGGAATCAAGGAACCAATCGCCGGCCTCCTCCCACTCCTCGATGCCGAGAGAGGTGAAATACTCCTCTTTGGCCCGGTCTTCCATGGAAAACAATGCATCCATTCTCTTCGGTAGTGGATCGTGTGGCTGGAGTGTGGATAGACTGGTGGGTTCTGCTGCATTGGGATCTACGTCGAACGGAGCAGCCTTGAGGACGGTAAACGACATGCCGTAGAGTTGAGGTGGAAAGTGGTCCAGCGGGGCTGCTTCGCGAGTGCCATGCTGTGGCTCGACAGGGGTTTCTGGCGGAATGTTGTTGTAGTTATTCTCTTCGCCAACTTCAGACATCATCTCATTCTCAGGTGGTTCAAAGGCCTGTACCTGAGGCACTTGCACGTTACGAGATCGAGACTGCTGTTGCATCTGGAACTGTGGTGGCTGTGGCTCTTGAGATTGTTGAGGCTCAGGCGTGGCGTTACGAAGAGCGCCCTCAGACAGCCGCTTCCGTGTGCTCTGCTGGACCGGCGCCGGAGCGACGGGCTGAGGTTCTGGCTTGATGTGCTGAGTCGGACCATGTCTGCGTGCAGGTCTCCCGGGAACACCATTGCCCGATGCCGAAGGACCGTGTTGAGCGGTGCTGGCTGGCACGGGCTTGGTAGAGTGATTGTGATAGTGCGGCATTGGAGCAGCATGAGCGCGATTGGGGTGGGATTCATTTCGCGCAAACGTAAAGCCTTGACCTATATCCTTCACGAAATCTTCAGGCCGACCAGGAGGTGCGTGGAATTGTTGAGGTCCAGCACGATCCTGATGTCCACTCTGACCAGGTGGGAGAACTTGCTTGGAATGGGTTGCGTGAGATAGACGAGTGCCAGCGCCGTGCCCGGGCATGACCACGGACTGCGCACCAAGGCCCTGCGGGTAGGCTGAAGTCTGATACTCACGGTCGTCGTCAGCATTGGTGGTTGATGGCCGGCCAGAGGTGGTCTCAGGATAAGTGTCGCCACTGATGCGACCTAGACCACGACCGTCAGGCTTTTGCCGTGCTTCTGCACCTTGTGGCGGGTGCACGGTGCCTTCATGCTCCTCGTCAGCTTCGTCATCCGTGGTATAATACTCGAGTTCGCCGCCTTCGCCTTGCAATGCTTCGTTCGGTTGCGCATCCGACGGCATTTCATCCTTAACGGGTCTGCTCTCCTCTCCGGACGGCTGCTCTAGAACTCTGGTGCCTGCCGTGGTGGTAGTATCATCAAGACTGGCGTCAGTATCGTAGAGTGTTCGCGGAACATCTTGAAGAGATTGAATAGGAGGAATTGGAGGAACGCTTTCAGGCCTTGTTGATGGACCTACGCCGGCCTTCTTCGACTTGACAGGCTTGATCGGAAGCTTCACGTCGTCGTAAGATGGATCGGGCTTGATTGATTGGCCATGTCGGCCCACTACGAAGCCAGCCATACCTTCGCGTGCCATGATGTGTTTCGCCTCGTTGTTGATGAGGGTAGAGGTGAGGTTTGTGACTTTGACGCGTCAAAAGCTTGAAGTGCTTGCCCGTGCCTACCATCAATTAATTGAACGGAAGTCAATCAAAGCTTGAAACGCCGAGGCAGGAGCAACCAAGCAAGGACACTCTCTCCATCACACTGAACATCATGGCTGCTATTGACGAGGGCGCCTGCGGCTTGCTCAGCCTTCCTAATGAGATCTTGTTGAATGTCCTCGGTTTGTTCAGCACCGAAAGCGTGCTGACATTCGGTCCTGTATGTCATCGCTTGTACGGACTGATCCAGCGGCTCCTCTTGCATCGATTGCAGGTGGCGAGTAAGTGAATGAGAATCTGCACGACAATCTCGCGAGCTGACCGCCCGTTCTACCCGAAGCTGCTCTTGATGGGCACATGCTCTTCCTAGAATGCGGACATCCATCGGCGAAGTGGTAAGTCAAGTGGTCCATCGTATGGAAGTAGTAACTGCCCTCGTGCTCCGCCCTTCTTGAGCTAATATCTTGTTGTCCAATTGAACTTCAATACTGCAAGCCTACGAATGGGGCTAATATACGATAGGACGACCTCCAAAGTATACTGCAACTTCCTCGCCGCTCAAGGCTTACAGGAATTGATATCTGACATGCGCGATAACGGTGTCAGAGTCGGCCACCATGCCGTAAAAGCAGCAGAGCTATACTGCCGCTTCAAGCCAATGAACAAGGAGCCCGACTTCATCAGCATTCGACGACCTCATCCAGCTGGCGATGTTCCTGGATCTAGGACATTTGTTACACCAGAGACTGCCGCCGCAAAAGCTGCCTTGCTCTCAGATCCCAGCGCTGCAGTAACTCGCACGATAACCGTCGATTCTCATGAACTCTTTTCACAACTCTCCACCGTAGGCTATCTAGGTAGACGGGAGCCACTTCGAGGCTTGCTTGGCTCCATTCAAGAAGTTTGTGATGGGACCATTCGAGTGTGGCGCGACTGGCTGTCCAAACACTGCCAGAGCAAGCGGTGGACGGATGGAGAGCCTATAGTTATCCATCATGAAGGAGAAAGTGCAAAAGGTAAAGCGAGGTCTGGAAGCCTCGCAGCTGGAATGCACCCACGGGACGATCCTAGTATCTTATGGGTCAACAATACGCGAGGGGAGCAGGTCGGCTTGAAGCTGAAAGTCAAGGAGCAGAAATGGCAGCGCGATAATCCGATCTTGTTCGCAAGTGATATTGAAGTTCCCGTGAGCTATCTCGTGGAGCTCGAAGGTAAGTGGAATTTGTTGTGTCCTGCATCACTTGACTAACCGGGCTTTATAGAGGTTGTTGTCTCGACCACTTTCTTACTCCTCAAGATCGAAAAGGCGAGAGCACAGAATCTTAACCAAAGTGGGAAGGCAATCATCTTTGGGAACTTCATCGACCAAGATCGGTAGGCCTAGCTGTCTTGTGGAGCGCTATATCGCCTTTGATTATCGTTGTATGTTGTTACGTTGGAAACTTTTCACACGCTGTGTACATCGATGATAGTAAACAAGTCTGGACCGTCTTTTCGAAGAGCCTTCTTACAGCGTGTTATCAAGTTTTTGCCATCACTCACATCGAAATACCTCCTCCAAATCCTTCCACCATCCTTTCGAGTCTGTGCTCCCCTGGCTGCCTTTGATCAATGTCTCCTGCATGCCTACGTCAGAAGATTAGCGAGGCTCATGTCCGGCGTGAGGCCCATCGTGTACCGTCCGTCATTTTCCACCAGCGTTGAACCTCTACATTCGATCTCATTCTCTCCATGTCGGCCTCGTAGTCTTGCCCATTCCACTTCATGCTGGCAAATAGTGTGGAGGAAGCATCGTCAAAGAAGATCGAATAGTCGGAGATATTACAGTCTTTGATTTGCTCCAAGACGGCGGGCCAAACAGCAGCGTGACATTCCTTGTAGGCCTGGAGAGCTTCGGGCTTGATTTTGACGATTTGTGCAATTCGTCGTGGTTCTGGCATGATGGATTGCGGGAACGTTGTTGTCAGTGCGATGGAGTAATTCGAGCAGTGAAAGTGCCAGGGACTCTCGGGACAACGTGGACCGAAGTCTGGATTGTGTTGCCATTTTTCACCTTTACGACGATGCTAAGACTGCGAAACAGAATACAAAAGGGGCTAAGGTCAAAATAAGCTGTACAGTCTAGGTATAGCATTTAAGACAAAAGGAGGTATTGTGATGGGGATTGGCGTGCAGCTCCTCGACTATTGCCTCCACGCAACAACATCAACAGCAGAGTCCCAAAGATCAAGAGCCAAATCCCTCTCCATCGCTTCGCCAGAGTGTGGTGGTAGTCTCCAAACAGTGATTCCAAACCCACTCATCTTCAGACTCGTCACCAAAGGCCCAAGTGTCAATCTCTTAACAACGAAACCACGACTCTCCAAATTAGTTTTGGCTAGCTCTGCGAAGCGTGCCAGTACCTCGTCTGAAGTGCTGCCCAGGCTGTTCAACAGAACAACGACTTCGTTGTCTCCACTAGGGTTGGATGAAGCAGAGAATGGAATGAACGCTCTGTCAGAGTCGGCAATGTTGAGTAGCAGATCCAGCATTTGTGAGACCAAAGCTTCGGGCGACGGTATAGGTGAGATCTGCTGGAGACCTGGCTCACCATGCGCTCCCATACCAAGCTCGATCGTTGCCGGAGGTAGACTCTGCAGGTCTGTCAACGTAGCGTTGGGCAGCGCCACTCTGTATCATGGTTAGTTACGACGTAAATGTTTCCGAATCTCTTCTTTCTCACCTGTCAAWCGCTGCTCCAATGGTACCGACATTGGCTGCAACGTATTCCATCACCTCTGTAACCCTTTCCAAAGTTTCGCCTTTCTCGGCGAGAGCACATGCACTTTTGAGCGCTATCAAATGTCCACTGAGACCTCGTCGACCGACTTTGCCGCCCTTCTTTCGTCCCACGGCAACATCGTCGCCGACGGGTACAAAGGAGACTTTGTAGCCAGCAGTCTGAGCTCTTGTGATAGCTAGGCCAGCATTCAAGATCTAGGTCCAAAGCCATCAGCATCATTCTCAAGACTTTAAGTGTAGGGGTCGAAAGTAGCCCAGGGCATAATGCAGAAGCATCATGACTTGATGCCACCTTTCTGCTGGTCTTCTTACTCACATCGCCAGTGTAATTCCCACATACGACCAATGTGCCTTTGCTATTACCGCTAGCTGGCTGGCACATCTTGATGGCTTCGAATATCTGTGCAGCGGTCGGAGAGGCGAATATGTTACCCGAGACATATTCTGAGAGATAGTTGTTCCCTACAAAGCCTCCAAACATTGGTTCATGGCCACCGCCTGCGAATCCTATGGTCGTTACATGATCCTCGCTGAAAGAGCTCAGGTCCGACCTGTAGACGACCTTGTACTCGGCATTGTAGGACAATTCCGGCTTGAGATACGTTAGACCAGTCAGTGCGTCATTGATGGCATGCTCTGGACTGTTGATGAAGTGAAATGTCTCTTGAACTGGCTTGCTTTGGACTTCAGAAGCCATAGTCTCAAACGGGTCGCTCCCTGCAAGTCAGACGCAATTGAAGAGACTTGAAGGGCAAAAGGCGTGGCTGCACGCTGGGAGACGGGCAGAAGAGATGTAAGAGATGAAGTCGGCACCGCCAGACTTACCTTGTACAGGTGCAAAAGCAATCATCCTGCTCTGGGAGAGGGGATCACCGAGAGGGGATGAAGAGGGGAGCTGCGGATTCCTAGCCCACTCGGGATACCGTATTAGGAAAAGCGAAAGTCCATCCACCACATCAGCTACCGTTTGTACCTACCTCTGTTTCGACAAACCATATGATACGGCATACTTTTACTGGCAATTGCCAAATTGCTGAAAGAAACTTAGTCTAATCCATCCACAGAAGATCGCGTTCGGACATTCACTTACCGATAGTTTCCCTCGTTCTGATGTTGTCCACTTCTATATTCGTTCGCCTCCAGCAGACCTCATCACTGCATAGCTTATCCACTCATGGGATGCTTCGATACCGGTTAAAGTGTAACCAGCAACTCACTTGTATAAAGAAGACCTGATATCCCACCGATCAATGGTACGAATCTGCAAACTCGTTGTCTCGAACGGTGGGACAACATCGCGACTTTGACGATCTGAGATGATGACATCGAAGCTTGTGTGATGGCAAGCTTCAAGCAACTATCTATCAGTTCTTTTCCGTTTCTAAACGTCTCCCCGCTTCACTAGGACTRCTCTTGGAACCCCCGTCGCCCTCGATCACGTTCCATTCCTCTCGATCAGCGGCGTCATCTGCGTCGTTTGTTGAAAGCTCAGGGACATCCTCATCGTCATCTTCCTCAGGTAGGACCAAGTTCAAGACCAAAGCCACGAAGCCCGCCACAGCGAATCCAGTCTGCATGACTAATGTGATCGCGCTATAGAAGCCGGAAAGTGCCTGATTGTCGCCAGAGTAAGTGAACACATAGTCGAACCAGGTCGGTACCAGTGTAGCTCCAAAGCCCAGTGTCAGGCATGCCGTCAAAATGAACCTGTTACGGCGAGTGAACGGCATCGTCGATATGATGCGAATTCCAGAAGATGCGACAGCAGCGAAGAGGAAGGTCGTCATTCCACCGAGTACAGCGGACGGAATCGCTACCAGAGATGCTGCAAACTTGGCGAAGATTCCCACGAGGACCAACCTTTTCTGAGGGTTAGCCATGACCGTGTAGAATCGTACAGGCTATGCTCACCAGAAGCAACATGCATATCCAGCTTTGCGGTTAGCACAGCGAGTGAGGGCAATAACACCATTGTTTTGCGCGAACGTTGACATTGGTCTGAGAGCGTCAGTGAACGGACTGGAAACAAGACTGAGCAGAAGCGGATGAGCATTACGTTATCGTGCAGAGTCCGGCGAGTATACCGTTCAGCCCGTCAGCGAGAACACCTCCCTAAGTGAGGTCAGTACTTCAAGTCAATCGTGAACGTTCAGGAGTAATCACCTGAATGCGGCTATCGAACATAGGGCCATCTACCTGCAGTCGCGAAAGATCGCAAGTTGCCTGGAATTGTCAGCTTTGCCCATTGAAGTCTGAGTGGAGACTTACAGTAACATCACCAATCGTCTCCATAGTCAAAACGATGTAAACGGCTAGTAGTGGAAGTACAATTGGTCCATACACGCTGAGCTTGAAGGTGTAAACCCAAACGAAGCTCGCAACCGGAGCCGCATCGATACCTGGGAGACGTCAGAAACCACGCTGTAGCACGAGGCTCATGCCTGGTGGAGCTAGCATACCGGAGCGATCGAAGTAGCCGCAGGCCGCGGCCACTATACATCCCACAAGAAGACCAATCACTACTGCACAGCTCTTCATGATTGGCGCACCGAATCGTTCACACAGGATGATCGTAAGGAACACCAAAAAACCAAGACCAATAAACTCCGCTGAGCCCCACGGGAGTGGGTGAGGAGCATTGATATCCGGACAAAGGCGGTAGAGTCCAGTTTCAGGCCTTGCCATACAATCGCCCGAGCCGCCAGCCCAGTTTTTGAACCCAGAGGAGATGAGTTTCACGCCAATGAGAAGTACAGTAGGTCCAGTGACCAAGGGAGGGAAGATCTTCTTCAGATAAGCCTACGAATATCATAAATTGTGTCAGTGATCGTCTTTCAGAGTATCAGGCTATTCGGCATACCGGCGGCATGAAAGATAGTGCTACTTCTATCAAAGCACATATACACTGAGTGCCAAGTATAGCTCCATARCCATCTGGACAGGGCAGTTTGGTGCCATTGGCATCCGTGGGACAAAATCCATTGGCATACATTTGCGAGAGAGCGCCAGTCGCGATAGGAATAGTCGAGAACGACACACCGACTACGGACTAAACGAAAAACGTAGTCAGTATGGAGGTGATTCGGTAGAAAGCAAAGTTGAATCGGTTAGAGACGCGCTCATGTCGGCCTCTTTGCCAAGATTAGCATGTACTCACTATCAAACCAGTACCCACGAAGTATGGAGTCTTCCATATGTGGAACCTCGTGATCTGGATGCAAGAAAGGGCCGCGCAAACTATGAGCGACGTGCTAACCAGATATGATTGCATGTCGGGAGTGAAATTCGCTGCGCCCGATAAAACGATGGGGGGAGTGATGATGCCAGCCAGCATTGCGAGGGAGTGCTGAAGCCCAAGGAGCAAGGCCAGAACGACAGGCATCCGGTCGTTCAATCCAAAGAATGGCGCAGACCGTCGCTTCGTTCTCGTGAATGGAATCTTGGGAGTGAACAGGAATGCATAGTCGTAGGTGCCAATGAGTCCCTCTCGTGTAGTGAAGGCTTTGACAAGTGCTCGACCACGACTCGACCAGGTCCTTTTGGGGGAATCATTCGTTGGCGTGATCTCTGAGGGATGGTCGTCCTTGACGTACTCGCCACCTGAGGGGTCCATACTGGAGACAGAACTATCGTTCCTTCAGTAGCTGTGGTTGTCGGGATCCCCAATGTGTAGGCTGATCCGTCTTGCAGAGCACGCAGGGTTTGCTGCTGCCTGGGGGATGAGAAGAGTCTTGATGTAGACCCGAAAGAAGCAACAAAAGAGCAGAAACTAGTGAAAGACAGCGAAACCTTACTCTATGTAAGACCGGATTCCCCGTGCTCAATCCAGTGCTTTTGCTTCCGTGCAACACGCCGGACGATAAGTGAGCGCCCTTTTGGCGAACGGCGACGTGCGAAGTTGAAAAGATAAGGACTGTTATCACCAGGTAATGCGTAAAGAAGTTGGGAGCGAGCGGTACGGACTGTACGCCGAGATTTCCCCCATGGTGAGACATTCTCTTGGCAGGGCGCGCAGAAGCAAGCATAATCGACTGCCCGCTTGTTGGAGACAATGAGCACCAGTCTGATATACTGCGGATAAACTCAAGACGAGCGTTGGTAGAGAGCTCAAGTATGTTCGATATGCGGACAGAGAACACATGGGGAGGARAATTTTCGAGCGAAAATGATGCCAGTTGTGCTCGAATGGCGAATGGTATGCTCTCTTATTTTATCCAATACAGTAATCGAGAATCACACAGAAGAAAGACAGAAATGAAAGGAAGAAGCAAAGACACGTCTGCGATGCCAATTCCATGCCCAAGTTCCCTACGCGATGCTATTCCATGCTAATTCGAAGATCCCATTATGCTCCCAATGCAAGTCCTTCCCAGCTACCCAATATCAAAGCGAAAGCCCAAGAGGCCGTCCACGATGGCCATTATGCTACAAACAGCTTCCAACAGGAAACCTCTCACAAGGTGATGTCATTTCCCCACTGTCTAGCTATTGATGGCGTCGTAGTACTGACTGTTCTGCGTGTGAGAGTGTGGGTGCTGGTGCTGAGTCTGATGCTGGTGCTGCTGTTGGACGTTCGCAGGACGCGGCACTGACGGCGGCGTGCTCACCACGAGAGCCTGAAGCGCCTTTTCTGCGGCATCCTCTCGCGCGTTGTGGACGTACTGGCCATCATACCAGAAGCGGGCCGGGAATTGATTTCCCTGTACAGTCACCACGCAGCTCCAGGCTGTGCGACCGCCTGAAAACATCATGAGCATTCATTGTAACTGCAAAGCCACGGCGGGCGAAATCAAAAGCCGTACCTCTGCGATCGGACAGGACTTGGTAATTGGGAGATCGGAAGCCTTGGCTGCGGCAGAAGTCTATGGGCACAAGGTCAGCTTCATCTGATGAGATGTGTTTCGACGAGATACTCACGGCTCAGTCTATCCTGGTGTGGCGATGGCTGACATCCCCCTCCCGCGGCGGAGCCTTGTGAAGATGCTGTCGTAGACATGTTTGTGACTTTGAACGGATGGGAGCGTTTCGGCTGTAATCGGAAAAGGTGAGAAGGTTGATAGCTATGCCCAGGTCAAGCAACAACGCACCAAAAAAGCAAGGCGATGCGAATTGGGTATCAAGAACGGGATAGTTCACTTAGCCGCAGCAGAATACGTCCCTGGGCTGTACCTTGAGAGATTCTTATAAGCGTCAGCTCGAGCATTGCGTTTCCATCAGTCACAGAGTCAACAGCGTGGCGGTGTTGAGCAACAGCAGGCTTCCGGCTCTCAGCTGTCAGACCTGCACTCTCCCTTTACCGTTGTGAGAGGACAGATGGTGTAAGAAGCTGGCCGCTGTTGGTATGTTTGCCGCGCCAACGAATGGCTGCCCACTTAAAGAGGGCAGTCGCATTGCGACGGGGTACAAACATTCACCCCTCGACCCCCATGGCTTCAAGTCTCGATCATGCATCGTTTGCGTAGTGGCCCGCTGGATCGGCGCGCGTAGCCTTGGGCCGAACCGAGCTCGATGGTCACCAGCGACAAACGGATGCTGAGCCAGCCGCATGTGTGAGACGATGATTTTGCGGACGTGTCAATGCAGATCCAAGGCAGCACGTCTCACGGATTGCTTTTTGTTCACCTCGACGATGTTTTGGTTGCGGCGCACGCCCACGGAGCGTTCATGCGTGGTGCATGGACCCAGCGCCGAAGGAGGAACGGGCAAATGAGGTGCATGAGACTACTGCGTGACGTGTCGACGGCTCGAAGCACGCTCGAGACGAAGCACCAGCTTGCTTGCTGATCACGTCGCAGACGAGCACGAGCTCCACCCCAGTAGTGGTGGGTGGCGTTGTCTGTGTGCATAAAGGCGGTTCAAATCAATTCTGCCAGGTCGCACCGTGCCGGGTACCTGCTGGATTGCGCTGCTGCACATGTTCCGCGCAGCGCAGGTAAGAGCGGCAAGCCACGGCACGTCAACAGAAGTGCCGCGCTCTCGGGCAAAGGGCATGCAAATACCGGGATGGTATTGACCAGAAAGTAGTGGTGATTCGTGAAGTGAAGTGGAGCTGCTAGTCGAGGGTGAGAGCTCGAGCCGGCCGTCAGCCCGTGACGCTCGCCAGCAAAAAGTGCCGTGATCGGCCGTCYCCTACTTTACCTAGTTACTTGTGCTTGTTGCATCAGAACTGTGACTCTGCGTCGTCGTTTGTCAATATCCGCCAATTCAAGCCCTTTTATACATCCCAAACACCGTTGGCCAGTGCACCCTTGCTCCGGGCAATGACACCGCATTGCCACACCCGCTTTGCATCTGTTCTGCTATGCGTACTGTATATATGAAATAATACTCCGTCTTCCCTACCACTATGCAGCTGAAGTCGTCATAAGGCYCCTGGCTACCGTCGGGAAGACACATATATCTTTTGGTGGAACGCTCAGCTTGATCACGTTGAACTGACCGCCCATTTGAACGGCATGTACACACAGCACACCGCTAGATGTGTGTCGCCGTGCGTAGGTACCAAGCAATCGTGGGCACTGCGGACCGGAAAACCCGCGTTTCACAATCAGTATTGACTTGTCTGCCGGGTTGGACCAGTAGGTCCCGAAACGCTGCTGGGAGGCCGGCCAGTCGACGATCGACGACTGTGGGTACCACTGGCATTTCTCTTGAACATCTCGTTGATCAGCCTTTTGGGCCCGATGTACTCCACACCGAGCTGCAGTCTGGGGACGAAGAGCTGTTTCGAATCTTTTGAATGGAAGCGCTCATTGATGCAGTTGTCTACAAGAGCGATCAGGCCAGAGGAAACAATCACACTGTGAAACAAGGTCAGTGAGACGAACCAGCGCTGTCAGTTACGGCAGGAAACTCACTCTGCAACGTCCTTTGGACCAGACACGATCGTCTCGTCGGCGATCCACAGGGAGCACGGAGGTATCCAGCCACCTTTGGCTCGCTCCTCCTCCATCTGCGCTGGGCTGAGAGAAAAGGGAACAATGTAAGCAAGCACAAGATCGGAAGTACCTTTCAAAAGCTGGAACGATACAGCTCGGCTCTGACCGTCGTCTCGAATAAGGCGTTTCCACACATACTGAACCCCCCAGTACTCGAACTCATACCGCTTCGACCCCGTCCGTCCCGCTCGCCTGATGGCTACCTGGGCGTAGTTGGAGTATTCGAGCTTGATCGTGTTTGGTTCAGCCCGCTCCTGCTGAAGTGCCGCGTGCGCAGAAGACGGCCGCCGATCGTCACCTTTCTCGGGTGACGAACGAACAGATCCACCGGTGGAGCCATAGCCGGAATCATTTCTGGCAAGCGATGCCAGTGTCGGCATTTTTTGCTCGGATGATTTTGACCGCATTCCACTCAAAGCATTGCTAAGAGAGCGCTGAAAGCCCGGCCGCGCATTCACGGGCGACTTTTGAAGTTTACCAGTATGGCACACCTCACGTCCAGAATCTCTGCAGTAACGACGAAGAGAGAATTCGCGATCCCTTAGATCGTGCATACGTAGGTGGAACAAACTCATGTCACATCTTCGTCCTCCTGTGATTCGTATGAGCCAGGGAGATAGAATCCATAGATATGCCATCGTACGTACCGTGCATGGTCACTTCGGTATCGATTCGTAGATTCATGTTACCGTCAATCGTGGAGTCATCATGCCGCACTATGAGTCTGCGATGCGACGGGAAAAGCTCAGAAAAGTCTGACGGCGTTGCTGGAATGGCCGTCGGAGCATACGGCTCCATAGTATATTCTGGCACTTCATATTCCGGTAGCTCTGCTGCATCATCATCTTCTACCTCGGAAGCATATGTGCCCACCGAGGAACGAGGGCTGCCACAAGGCGGTTGATCTGCAAGGTACCGCGGTGTTGCTTCCTGACCGTTTCCTACGCAAGTGTTGTAGTGGATTCTCTGCGGTCTCTTTGAAGAGCTGGAGCTGTATTGTGTCGGTGCCGAACTATAAGAACGATCCGATCCGGACTCGCGTTGACATGACCGATCACTGCTACCATAGTCGGAATCATATGCGAGCCGAATGTCGTCCAGGTCGCGGCGATGGTGGAGAAGGGTCATCTTGGGGGCGAGAGGGCTCTGTAGTGTACGGAGCCTGTCGGCGGGCACCTTCTTGGGTGTAAATGCGATGCGGGCAGGCGATGGCGCAGGAGGAATCGTTGGAGCAGACAAGCTCTAGCCCGACATCCACGTGTGTTGCGAGGCACAGCAGGAGACGTGATGCGAGCCAGCAGATTGGTGTGGCAGCGCAATTGAAGGACGGCTCGGTCACTGGGCTGCTGTGGTTGCGCGCGAAACGGCGTTCATCGTGGTTAGATCCTCCCACACCTGAGAGATGTGGTGGACAGACCTGATGCGAGAGCGTCGGGAGAAGTAATCACAAGCCGTCCAGTCTCAGGAAAGGGAGTCTTGTCTCATTGCGAATGTGACTGCAGCCTGCCAGCCGGTCCCGTAGCGAGGCAAGTCAGAACTCTGTGCTGCAGTGCGTTCACGGTCCAGGGTCAAAGAGGTGGGTGAAGCAGACGAAGCGCATCCAATAGGACCGACGCGCGCACATGCCGCCCGCGTCCGTGATGAACCATCACGATCGTATGCCGGTTCGAGACTGGCAGCCTGCGCATCGGGATCTTTGGAACCTCACAGCCAACCGCGCGAGGCGTGCATTCTCTCTCCCGACGAGGTCTGAGAGCAAACTATCTTGTTGCCGCTGGAACAGCACTGGAAGAGTGAGACGTGCTTAACGTATCGGCCCGACGTGGCGATAGGGCATCAGCTACCCAAGGGCACTTATGCGTTGTTATTGACACTCCATACACCTGGATTGTTCTTCCCATCTCTACCTTCCCGTGGAAAATGTCCTGACCAGAGTTGACCTCGTGGCCAGTACATTTAGAGTTATAGTGACTACCTGTCGCTACGGCTCATGCATAGAAGACACCCGAGCCCAACACCTTCTTCATGTGAGAGCCACAAATGCGAGCCCCGGTGGGGCAAACTTCGATTGGAACGTGTCGATCGGCAGAGTCGCTTTGAGCATGGTTGGTGCCATGCTCCTGTTGCGAGTACTTCCAGTTTGTCTCAACGCAACCACCAAAGTACCAGAGCATCCGTTCCTAAATTTGCAGGCAAGACAATTTATGCTTCCTCCTTTCTCGTCCACCCCACACACATTGACGAATCACCATTGACGAATCACGCCCAGCTTTCCACGCTGTCGTGGGGACACACTCAGCTTTCAGCGAGTGCAATTGCATTCATGCCGCCCCGTATCATCTGATCTTGTAGAACGAAAAGCCACGCATAGGCCCTACCATTATCATTACCCTGCTATCCTCGCTACATCGTATCTCCCACTGGGTATCACACGCAGGACCGCTGAAGGCTTCGCAGGCAACCATCCTGGCAATGTGATTGGCGCTTCGAGGCCTCCAATTGGCCATTGAGCGTGGAGGGGTCGCTTCCATTCGCCACGAATGGGATGGTAGCCATCATGCAGGAATGCGATCGCCTCCGTGCTCCCAGCAAGCACCATGTAGCATGCGGTTCGCTACATCAGAGTGCCTCCGAGGACAGAATTGGCATGCCCGGTGGTGGAGGGCAGATCGTTGCAGTCGCAGGGCAAGTCTTGAAATTGCTAAGAGTCCAACATGTGAAGCTCAAGACTGTCGTTTTCCAGTAATACATTCGTTGTGCTTCGTGATCATGTTTAAAGCAAGACGCTGGCAGCGACCCCGTCCCCCTGTACTGCATGCCCACTACATCCATTTCCCTATCGAGATGGCATCCAAACTCTTTTGAAACGCTGCGAGGTTATCCTTCCCCCCAATGCTCCGGCCAATGATGACAATCTTGCCATTGCCAGTCGGAGACTCGGTCGAGTCGCCATCGATCAGTTCAAAAATCTCACGCACACCCTGGAGTATCTTCACACCACCATCGCGAAGGGGTATCCTCCCTWTGATGCGATGAATCTCCCAAACATTTGAAGGATCTGGATCACGATACGGTATGCGACTTTCCCAGAGCACACTCCGAAGCCACTTATCCAGGCCGTCCAGCATGGAAGACTCGAGGACAGGTAGCGTAAGCATTAATGTCCCGATTGCAGGATCAAGATGGCTATGTCCCTTACTCGCAAAGTCCAGGCTTTCAGCCGTGACGCTGTCATAGGCGTGCAGGTCGAGGACAAGGCCTTCCAGCTGCGGAACCTGGCTATGATCTGTGACGTGCAACTTGGCTAGTGCGTTTATTGAGCGTACTCGGGCCTTCACCGCGTTCAGCTCCTCGGCGGAGACAAGATCGGTCTTGTTGATGATTATTACGTCTGCATGAGAGATCTGGAGATGTGCGGTAGACAAGAGCTGGCCTTTGTGGTCTCCGTGATCATCATCATTATGAACTGCTTCATCAACGTTGGGCTCGTCCAGGCTGCGAATAATGTTTTTGGCGTCTACGAGTGTCACGATGCCGTCGAGGTATATCGTGCTTCCAAGGCCGTCGTCAACCCAGAAGATGGGTGCAATATTTCCCGGGTCTGCTAGGCCAGTGGTCTCGAGGAGGATATAATCAAAGGTTCCTTGCCGCTCCATGAGGGCTTCGATTGCATTGACACCCTGGTCCTTGACTGAGCAGCAGATGCAGCCATTGGCGAGGTCCAGCCACTCTTCTGCTTTCTCATCACCCTGATTGATGGTGAGAGACTTTTCAATATCACTACTGTTGCCGAACTCTATACATGTATCAGGCGATGCACTTCGAGGACTGTTGTGAGGTCGACACCTACCGTTCAATATGACCGCGATCTTCTTGCCATGGCGAGCAGTGAGAATGTAGTTCAATAAGGTTGTTTTGCCAGCTCCAAGGTAGCCTGTCGTGCGAGAGAGGATCAACGAAGGTAATGATGAGAACTTGACCTGCCTACTCAACCGAAAAATGGTTGAAAAGCGTTGTCAAAATCCTACCTGTTATGATAGTGATGGGGACTTTGGCCAGTGTCACATCGCCCATCTCAGAGGCAAGTCCTGCTTCCACTGCATTGGAGCCGCCGTCTGCGGCGACCAACATTGGCGGGCCATCATCGTCTGCGTCTCCATCCATTGTTGCAGTTTCAGAGGTTTCGATGTCGGTGTCGCTGAGACATGAAGCCGGGCGGGAAAGAGAAGGGCACGGAGCTCGCGCCGGAGCCGAGCCTTACTGGGACCGGGAGCTTCTAGCTCGAGACAATTGGTCCTTGTTGAACAACGTCGCGTTACATGTGAACAGGCGCAGAACCAAGCTCTTGTTCCAGGGCATTTCCGTTCATATATCGCAATCATGGCTGCTGCCGTGGTATCACCGTCATCCTCGCCGCGGTTGCCCAGTCCACCCCCAATCGCCGAGGACCAGACGATGCCAACATCACCAGGCATTTCCCTCTACGAAGATGACGGGAAACTACCTGGCGGCGCCAACCTCGACACCGGCGCGTCGCGGCGTATTCGTCCGGGGACCAAGAGGGAGGATATGGCAGAAGGCCCGCCTCTGGTTGAGCTGCACGAGGTAGCTACCACGCACGACTAGACGAAGGTGGCCGAAACATATCTGACTGTGGTGGTTGTGCAGATCGATTCGGCCTTTCAACTCACAGAACACCTCAAAGCGCTACACTACTCACATACGCACCCAGCTGACGCCAACATGATTGTGCCGGTAGGCGTGGAGCTCGCGCGTCAGCTCTCCCAGCCGCCACCCAATACTGCCAAAGAGATTTGGCTGTACGAACTGGCCCGCTTTCTCATTCAAAAGACCAATGCCATCATTGTGAACCTCTTCGCCGACGTGCCACCCTGCAGCCCGACGACCTGCCCTGAGATGCGAGCCAGCGAATGGCAGTACTTATGCGCCGTCCACGACCCGCCCAAGAGTTGCGCTGCGATCGACTATTGCTGCCATACCCTAGATTGGGCCGCGACTTCTCTAACGAGCAGTAAGATGTTTCCATCACGACTCGGTCTCGGCTCGGGCAACGCGGCAGGCGGCAGCGACAAGGTGCTACAGCAGCAGATGAAGGAAATCACCAACATCTTTCGTAGGGTATACCGAATTTACGCACATGCCTGGTTCCAGCATCGCGACATGTTCTGGCGTGTGGAGGAATCTACGGGCCTATACATCTTCTTCAAAACCGTGTGTGACGAGTATGGCATGATACAGCCCGAGAATTACACCATACCACCGGAGGCTGAGGGACGCCCGCCACAGTCCGAAGATGATGTCCAGGAACGGCCTCCGCCACCCGTCATACTGCGACCCTCGTCCGAGGCCGCTTCTTCCGAGCCAGCGGTGAACCACGTTATTTCTCTCGGAGATACCACGAAGAGGCATACTAGAATACCTAGTAATGTGACAATGCCCGTATCTACGGTAATACAAGAGGAAGCAGAAGAGGAGGAGGATCCGGCGCACTTGGAGACGTCGTCGGACGACGTGAAGCCCATGTCGCCTCCGGAGGCGCTTCCAGAAATAGCGATCGACGCGGCAGAGTCCCCGGAAGTCGACGTGAAGGAAGAGACGCTGGAAAACGCGATATCAGGGGACGATTCAAAGGGAGATGAGGCGCAAGAGGCGAGCACCGAAACAGAACAAGTTGCAAAGGCGGACGCCCCAGTGCCGACCATTGCAAGGAGCAATACTGTTGTACCTCCCTCTGGAAAGACCACTGTCGTGGAGGAGGAGACTCCCCCAGAAGATGTGAATGAAGATACAGAGGGCGACGAAGACGCAGATGCAGACGATGTGACAGTCCTCCTCGACGAGCCCGAGCCCAAACCAGACGAACCGGATGTGGAAGTGAAGGCTGAGAGAGAAGGACCTGCAGATGTGTCTGATACAGCCCAAGCTACTGCGGCAGCCGCAGACGGCGACGAAGCCGGGAAGAGCGTTGAAGATTGATGCTGGAGCGCTGATCCCGTGCGGGAGCTCGCTCACGTCGAACATGTCTTGGCGTTGGTCAATGGCTGCAATCGTTTCCGCCCAAGACGAGTGGACAAGATCGCCACGCAATCTCTGGTGCCCAACATGCATGATCAGCACAATCGGCCTTTCTGAGATCCTATCGAGGCGTGGCAACTATATCCCATCGAAGCGAGCGTCGAGGCTGGTCACAGTCAGCAGTGAATCGACGGCACGGCCTGCGTCTTTGGACAGCGGAGAGACGACCTCCAAAGGACCATGAGATCCTAGAGGCATTTCCTGGCTTGCTACTTCGTACGCGAATGCCTGCCAATGACAGAGAAGAAAGYCTCGTGGACTATGCAGCACTGCCACATGGCAGGGATTGATCGTCAGAGCAACCACAATTTCGAATTGTAACATTCGACTCCCCGAGTTAGTGCACAGTCTCCACATATGGCCATGTTCCGCCATACTGATCATCTCCGCGGGTTGACGTACTGTAGCCTATCTTATGCAAACTGTCGGCTGAACACCCCTGTCTCCTCATCGTCACGCTGATCCCAGAAGGAGGCGCATTTACCCGTGTGTTATGTCAACGCTGCTCTGATTGGATCCTTCTAAGCGACCGCCCACAGGTCCCTGACATTCGTTTCTCGCCCGCATTGTGGTGAGCGGGCTTTCTACACACTTCCAGTCCGATGAGGCGAAGCGCTCCAATCGCAGACGAATTCACGGCTGTTTGTTGGCACCTCCCGATCCAACGACACTCTTGTCGCGGTGAAAGATACACATCATGCTCTCATCGCCAACGCTGACCATCCATGTCCCGTCCGGGCTCCAAGCAACTTGCGAAGTAGCGAAATGGTTCTTGGGAGAGAGCTTCGTACCGATCACAATTTTGCGGTGTGGAWGAATGTTCTTCAGTCGATCCTCAAGAGCGGAATGGTCCAAGTCAGCAGGGGCTGGGGTACCGTCCGCTGTTTTCAGATTAGTGCCTGTCAAACAACGCCACAATACCGATGGAACCTACGTGTGCTTGTGCTTGTTGCGAGACTTCCACTTCTTGAGACAGCAGTCTTTCCTTTGCCCTTTTTTCCCTTTACTTTCTCTCGCGGATCAAGGCCTTCCTCGAATCCTTGCAGATCCCAGAAATAAATTTGCGACATTTGATTGCCCATGGCTAGTATTGGCCGCATGTCAGGCTGGCAGAAGAAGCCAAATCGATGGTACTGACGGTCAGTGTGCGGCATGTCCAAAGTCAGTAGGCGCTGGAATCCCCGAAAGCGGCCTTCAGTGTTGTGTGGGAATGACGACCGAGTCTGCTCGCCATGCACAGGTATTGGCGGCTGTGCAGGGGTTGGCTCGTCGGGGTCAAAGCCATCGATCTTCCACACAATGATGTTGTTTTCCTTGGACTTTTCGATTTGACCCCGAGCCGCGCGGGAGATGATGAGATCGCCGTAAAATGCAATGCTATCGACGTAGTTGGAGTGCAGCTCCTTGGTGAAAAAGTGCGGGTAGTATACAGTCAAAGGCTCGTGCCTAGCTGTGCCATTGTTGTCAATCTCCTCGAGAGTCGGAACCGCCCAGAGACACACGGCCGTGTCTTGGCCACCCGAAAGGAGCCATCGTCCGTTCGGGTGAAAGGAAACAGCCAAGACAGGCCATTTGTGGCCTTCACCAGCAAACAGAGCCACGCACGGTTTCTTCTCGTATGCTGGATCCAGATTCCACAGTCTGATGGTTGTGTCTTCTGCACAGGAGGCGAGAAGGCTCGTGGAAAGGGGCGAGATAGCCAAATCATTCACTCCCTTGCCATGGCCCGACAGAGTACGTACAACCTCGCGAGTCACAATGTCTATAATCTTGATGTGTCTTGGCCAGGCCCCAGCTAGGCAAAGCCACGGGTTTCCTGTAACCGGATCCCGTGACCACGCTAGGCTGTTCGCGCTTGCTTTCGCCTATGCCATGTGTTAGCATGCGTAAAAGTGGAAGGACGACGATCATACGTCTTCATCTCGAAACCAAGACAACAGCTCAAACGCTTGGTCGGAGCCTAGTCTCGGGCGACACACAAAAGTCTGGTGGGAATGTCAGTATGTGAATGTATTGTGGGGACTACGTCGTACGTACATCTCTCTCGGCAGCTACCGCGAATATCTGGTCATCGTCGATGGTCTCGTAGGGGTAAAATTTCGCGTCGTAGATGGTGGATTCTGGGCATAACGTCAATGCCGCCAACACCGCAGAGGGAAGGAAATAGCGATGATCCACTTACCGGTGTCCAGCTTCGTGCATGATTGCAGCACGGGAAAAACGTCGAGCGACGGCATGTCGGAGAGACGAAGCCGGCTCCGCGCACGATATCGCGCGGTTCACAAACGCAGTACTTGCTACAAGAGTGTTGAAGAACGCAGCCTGTAGTATGGCGATGAATGCAGCAATGATTGCAACAAACCGTTGCTTTTGGTCGGAGTTGCTCGGCGCTCACGCGACGCCCACGTTCAATGGTGTTGTATGTAGAGCTGGCCTACGAGCCGCCCGCCTTGAGATGAAGCTCGCGTGGTACTGTTTGCTTCTGATCGTCGATGGGGTGAAGCTCAAACCTATGGCGGCGGTGCTCACTGCAGAACATCCAGGGTCCCGTCCCTGGTGTTGCCGTGGCAGAGCTTGCCCCAGCCTAGCGTCATGTGGCGTGCGTTGGAGTGAATGTTGTTGCACTGGGAAATGWGCTTTGGAGAGTAGCCCAGCGCGCCAGAAGGTAAACCCTTGCCTTGGAGTGCAGCGCGGCACACGGGACGATATGAGCTGCGTGTGTGTAGGCGAATCGTTGCTGGACGGGCAGCTGCTTCGGATCTTAGTGGTTGGCGGGTCCCGGTAGAGGTGTTTTAAAAACTGCGCGAGCTTCAATGTCGAGCAGACGGGGCATGTATCAGCGCAATGGAAATGCGCATTTGCCTGACGACGACGACGATTACCGCCAAGAGCATGTGAAGACGGGCCTGGTATCTTGCCACAAACCTGGGGTTTGGAGGGCAGAAGGATGTTTGCAGTTCACAGTGTTCTAAAATGGATGAACTCTAATTGAATCTACTTAAGGGAAAATTCCTCGGCTATATAGTCCTGCCTAAGTTACGTAGCTACTTAAGCCTTAGGTATATATGCTTAGTTCTTAAGTAGAGACTTTAAGAACATCCTCCCCTACTAAGTCGTTTTACCCTTAAAACTATAGGAGTTACTTAAGAGACCTAAGGGGTCCCTATAGATTATTTTATAAAGCCCTATCGCTTAAGTAAAAGGCTTAGACGTAGGGTTTACTTCTACCTTACTATAAGCTATATCCTTTATATAGCTAGCGGCTTAGAGTAGTACGTATATAACGTATACGATTAGCTACTTCGGCTTAAGTAGGTAGTTATAGCGTAGCGGAGCGGAAGTAGTATACGGGGTGCGGGAGCGTCGAGGCGTAACGTATATCCGGCAGCTTAAGAGCTACTAGGATATATATTAACTCGCCCTCTTAATCTACTAACCTCCTCCTCCGTATTTATATCTATCTTCCCCTTCTCTAATTAAGTCCCTTAATTAATACTTCCCCTTCCTCTATCTATTATATACGTCTTCTCTTATACTAGCTATATATATTAAGAAGCTATAGGCGATAAGCGTATAACTTATAGCTAGGCGGAGGGATCTAAGAAGAGCGACGACGGTAATAAGAGTAAGAAGGGTAATAGTTAAGACCCGCTAGTTACCTTAAGCGCGAAATTACTTAGAAAGCGACCTACGGCGAATACTAGCGATATCGTTATAAGCTTAAGGCGCTCTCTACGCTCTCGTAACTTAGGCGCTACTTTAGGCTTATCTCTAAGTAAGGTAACTTCTAAGCTATATCTAAGTCTCTCTAAGGCGGATCTCTAAAAGGAGAGGGAACTATAGGTAATTAAGAAAGCTTTAAGTCCTTAATCTCCTAGTTACGGTACTCTAAGCCGTAGTATAAGCGTTTAGCGGAAGCTAGTACTCGTAATTCCGGCGGTAGTAATAGCTACTTATATAGAATACGAGAAGTTCGGGTTCGATTAAGTTAGTAGTCTAGTAAGTAAGGCGAGCCTTCGCTAGAGAAATAATAAGATATCGTCCTTTAATCCCCTCTTAAACCGCTCCTTAGAGAACTTCCCCTAAAGCTTTCGTAGGTAATACGATAGTCTCTTAGTCTTTCGGCCTCGTAGTTAGGGCGGTTTTAATCTAGTAGCTACCTCGGAGCGGCTACTTATACGGTTAGTAACTCTCTTAGAGCCGAGTACGATAAGCTTAAATAGTATCCTAGGCTTCTTACGTATTACCGATACTTAGATACGTAAGGTAATATTTATCCTAATCCTTCTTAATAGGCGCGTTAGGCTATAAGAGCGCCTTAAGAAGTACGAAATCTATAAGCTAGRYGCTATTATCGAGGCCTTATACTAATAYTAGCTAGACGACCTTCGCCCTATCGAATAGAATACGAATATCGGCTATATACCTAACTACTTACTATAGTAGCGTTTAGGCTCTCTTTTTTCTTAAGCGCTAGGYRGAGCGCCTAAGTAGGCTTATAGATRCCGTCGTAAGACCCGYACGAYTAGCCCGTTTAAGRAGTATYRTTACGGAGGACTTAAGTAGGGAGCTTAYRGYAATTRTCTCTAGGGYAATTATTAGTAGGAGTGTAACTTAGCCGACTAAACTATAGTTAARAGTAGGAAGATATAGACTCCTAGGAAGAAGCCTTAAGCTAGCCCTTCTATTACTCCGGTATCTCGGCGTCGTTAGCTTAATAATACTAGGAGTAGAGAGGTRTCGATTCTYTCTATYTCTTCTACTAAGACGAGATTATCTAGTRCTTCTAGTTCCTCTTAGAATAGYAGTCTAAGCTAGTAGCTATTATAGGGYATCTAARAAGCTAAGATCCTAGACTTAACTAAGGAGGATAAGRARGAACGATTATAGTAGGYAATTRCCCTCTCTYTTAAGATTACTYRCTCCGGCCCTAGTAGAATCTATCCGCTAGGTTAAGCGAACGCTYCTTAATTAAGYAAGGTTACTCCGCTAGTCGGCCGTTCTTAGRGCCTAAYRGGTTTTAGCTTAAGTAACCTCTTCTCTCGTRCTATCGGATTAAGCGCTAACTAAGTRCTACTAGTTAATAGTYMTAGYAATAAGTATATAGGGCCTAAGGGTCCTATTACTTCGAGTAATATCTAAGAGCGTATAACGACGTTCTAGCGCTACTTAACGAGTGTTTATATAGCGAAYACTAATCCTACGCGATCGCTTTAGRAYACCGTTAACCGCTTATAYAYRAGGGCGTAGGCGGCCTTAGACGACTATTAGAATCCGAATACGCCTTAGATCCGGTTCTTATAGGTATAGGCGGCGGCCTTAATAGTGGATTTTAAGAAGAACGCTTAGTAGTTCGGTAGATATAAGCTAAAGAAGTAAGATTAGGTAGCTTAATAAAATTTCCTTATAGTTAGGCATTACTTAGAGCATTAGCTATTCTTTTAAGCTAGAACGTTTTTTCTAAGGCTCTATAAAACAACCTCTATTATCTAGCTATCTTATTTGCGAGCGTTACTTAATCGATAGGAAAATAGAATAAAAATAATAAAACAGTGCTTAAATAATATAACCGTCTTAATCCTTCCTTAATTTCGTAACTTAGCTATAACCTTACGACTTAATTGCAAGCTATAGCCTATATTAGCTAACTTCCTCTATACTACCTAAGTAGGATCCCCGCTTAGGTAGTTAGTAGTAGTTATCTTATATAGTAGAGGTGTCTTAGTCTTAATTACTAGAGGAGTTGCCTTAGGCGGTCTCCCTCTTCGTCGTAGAATCGTTAAGGGTAATTCCTCTCCTACTAGCTTCTTTCTTAGGGTAGCGCTAGGGCTTCTATTCTGCCTTAGGGGTAGAGCTAGGATAGTAATAGRATAAGAAGGTTTAGCTCTTAAGTTATTTAGGTTATTACTAGGGATCTAGTTTCTACTTAAGGGAGCGTTTAGGGGCTAGATTAGATAGCCCTTAGTATTATAGGAGGTACTTAGGCTATCGGTTTTCTATAGTAGGTCTTCTTAGGCCGTAGGTTCTAGCTCTATTACTCTCTTAGGGAGACTAGTAACGAGGTTTTTAACTACTAGGTTAACTTAGGCATCTTCCCTAGGTATTATAGT